TTGTGTTTTGGAAGTGTTTTTCGGGGGATTTGTGACGAACGAACTGAAAGTTGTAACTAACTAAAAAATAGTGCCGGCATTCCACAGGTCTTGCTTCCGCCATGGTCGGATTGTTACGACTTTGCGAACCGGGTCGAGATGCTGGGGATTGGCCGCTGGGCAAATAAAGGGGCCAAGCCGCGTTGGAGGCGAGACGAGCTGGCCGCTTGCCTGGAAGACGTCCTGTTTGGGCCGGAAGCGGCCAAGATTAGGGAGGGGGCGAGGGAACTGGCTAGGAGGCATCCTGAATCTGCTGGCCGCGACAAGGCGGCATGTGAGATTTTGGCTGCGATTCCGTGAGGGAAAGGCACTTTCTCTCCTGTTTTATTTAGAGATTCAATGCAGAAACTTGCTGCTATGGCCATAGTATTCAGCTGGTGGGGTTTGATGGCCGTGGCTGGTATTGTACACGTATTGGACGTACCAATTTTCAGTGACACATATATAATAGTTAGGATAGTAGGCGGTACACCGCTGAGATCCTGAGATACCTTACAATGTAATTACCTCCGTACCTACACCCGGTTCGCTCTCACATTCCCCCTCTGCATCTTCCCCTTCGCACCCCACGTCCTCCCAATTCTCCCCGCCCTCTTCACCTCAAACCTCCTCGTCCTCAGCGCATTCACCGCCACAATAACCACAAACACCGCCAAAAACGCCAACACCGCCCCCATCGGCCCCAAAATCGAAAACACCGCAAACCCATAACTCGCCGCCTGAAACGCGTCATCCCCAGCCAGCTTGGTCGTGCCCAAGCCGACTTGCATGGCTGACAAGATGAGTAGGATGTAGGCCGTGCCCGCGATGATGAGCGCGGAGGAGTAGCGGTAGAAACTGCCGAAACTGTTGAAGGTGGCGAGGTAGCCGCGGGAGAATTGGCCGGTGAGGACGGCTTCGATGAGGTTGAGGCGGTTGAGGCGGAGTTCGCCGTAGATGAAGCGGTCGGCTACTTCGGTCCATCTGTTGTCGTTATTATTTTGGTGATCGCCACTGCTGCTGTTGCTGCTGGAGGTGTGAAGCAGCACCTCGCGCGCGAACCGCCGCCAGGATGGCCAGGTTACTTGGTTTGGGATCAGGCCTTTGTCGATGGCGATCCGGAAGTCGCTCTCGTGGGTGATGAGGGCGATGTAGCTGAGCAGGAGGCCCATGGCGCACTGGCGCAGGCGTCGTTGGGCGCATAGCGGTTTTTTGTTGTTGTCATCATCGTCGTCGTCGTGATCAGCGAAACAGCCGCTGCGCTCTTGTGGGGAGTAGAGCGGGCCTGCCTCGGAAAGTTCGCGCTCTAGCGTTGTTGTTGGCTCGTTGTGCTGCTTGGTTGCTGTTGCTCCTGCTGTTGTTTTCTCGGCGGGCCCGGGCCGATGACTTGGATGATGGGTGTGATGATGATGATACGGCTGATGACACCGACAAGTGAGATACCCCCTCCAAAACTCAGGATTCAGTAAATACCGCGGCAGCGGCTTGATAAAGATGCGCCCCCCGCCCCAGACGAGGTGCAAGTCGATGCGCTCACTGACAAAGATGTCGCGGCCGATGAGGAGCTGGTGGTGCAGGGGCCGTGGGGGTACTGGTCGGCCGGCGAGCCAGAGAAAACGGATGCGCCGGTGCAGACGCGTCGGTTCGAGCTCCTGGGTGAGGAGATCGAGGGGTGGTGGTCGCGTGCTCTGGTGTGGTGGTGGTGGTGGAGGTGGTGCGTGCAGGTCGTCGTCGACGCGGTAGGAGGCGGGGAATTGGTCCCAGAGGAGATTTTCTGGGGGTTCTAGGTTTGTTGTGTTGTCGTTGTTGTCTTGTGTGTCTTGTGGCCGATCGCTCGGTTTTGCGTTGAGTAAGATGGTGCTTGTGAAGGGCACAGACTGCAGAGAGCGTTAGCAAAATCCACGTTTTTACATGTTTACACTCATTATTAGCGAAAGCGACTCACAGTATCGTGTGTTTCGGCCATCGTCGCGTGTTGGTAATGCTACACTTGGCGGACTTCGTGTCTCGTCGTCATTCACACTTGGACTCGACCATCAAAACAGTCGTGTGACAATGACTGCAGGTGGTCTCGATATTTGGGGACCAAGACAGAATTTGAAATGCAACTCCTCGAGCCCTGTCAAGCTGTCACGGTTGTCAGCGAGGCTTGCCAGGGTCACTGCAGTAGGTCAGCAGGGGGTTGCACGGAACGTTCATGCAATGCAGGTCACCCTCGGGCTCGAGGCAGGCCACCACCGCCACCACGGTCTGTCAGACGGATCTACATCCATATGTCATCCTCCCTGCATAGGAATTAAGCCTGATCCGCTCAGCGCGCGGCTTTTAAACCATTGTCCTGCGTCCATCCCGAGGATTGATAGGTGACGGGAAGGTCCGGTCCGTCGAACGACGTGCTCAGCTCTAGGCAGCACGATTTCCCCATTCACAACCGGCTCACAACGCGTCCCCTCATGTAACACCTACTAACGTTATAGAGGCTCGCTAAGCTCGCTAAGGTTGTAGGTCTCACCCACATAGTAACTAATGCCGGGCGGGAAGGATTTAGGACCCATGTTTGCCACATTTATGTGACTGGCCTGGCTGGCTACACTAAACCCCTTGTCATGGCTCAAGTGGCTCGAATGGTCTGTCGCAGCCACCTCATTTTATGTAGCATCGTTGCTGCGCAAAGGCTGCGCAAAGCATTAGTTTGAGTGTACTATGCTGGTGCCTGGGGGACTTCTGGAACAAGCGAACACTACATACCATCGTCGTAGTTGTAGGGTTGCCTACAACGCAACGCAATGGGACAGAGCCTTATGGCTAGTCTCAACGTTGGGCATAGGTTGGGCGGGGTAAGCCGTAAGCCCCTGATGTTCAATATCATCGTCTCATGTCCCCTCTCATGTCCCCCCTTGTGCGTTGCGTTCTTTTCTGAGAGGGGCCCCCTTGACTTTGACTGGTTTTTTTCTCTCGATCTCAGTCTCAAGCGGCTGTCCGGCGCTAGTTATCTAGAACACGTCCTTACCTAAGTTACCTACCCTCTCAACTTACCGGGCTTCCGGTTCCTCTCATATCAGGAGGACTATCCCACTAGAGACGACAAGATGGCCAGCGTCGGCACCCAGGGGCTAGAACTCCAAGCCCCGCACGACTACGACGCCAACCCGGGCTCAGTCGAAATCGACATCATCGCGGTCCCCGGGCTCGGAGCCAACCCGTCCAAGAGCTTCGGGTCGGAGAAACTGCCAGCCAGCACAGCCTTCAACTGGCTGAGCGACGAGCGCGATGGCATCCGGTCCGTGATCCCCAAGTCGCGGGTGCTGCTGTACTACTACGACTCTCGCTTTCTCGGGTCGCAGGCCAAGGAGCAGACGATTTACAATGTGGCTATCCTATTGCTTGAGAGCATCGTGGAGAAGCGGCGGGGTCAGGAGGAGGCGGGGCGGCCGATCGTGTTTCTCGCTCATAGTATGGGGGGGTTGGTGGTGGCGAAAGCCCTGGTGCTGGCTGCGCAGCACCGGGACAAGCTGGAGTATATGAGGGTGGTGGAATGTTTTGCGGGCGGCATCTTTTTTGGTACCCCCTTTGGCGGGTCGTCGCCGCAGGCCAAGGCGTATCTCCTGGCCACCTTTTTGGAAAAGGTCGGCCGCGGGGTGCCGAACCAGATGTTGCAGCTGCTGGACCCGGACCGGGACTCGCTGCAGGAGCTGCGTCGGGACTTTGTGCGCCTCGCCAACAAGGAACCGCGGGCCTCGCTGGTGTGCTTCTACGAGCAGCAACCGACCGACTACATCAAGGAGAAAGTCGCGCAATGGGTGGGCAAGAACTACTTTTCCACCAAGACCGGCGGCATCGGGCACCTGTGCGAAATTGTGGTCCCGCAAGCCTCGGCCGCGCTGGACGGGTCCGCCGACGTGGGCATGGCGTGCGACCACCGACAGCTGAACCGGTTCGACAGCGCCAAGGACGGCCGGTACGAGAGCGTGCGGCACCACCTGCGGGACGTGGTGCAGGACGCGCACCGGATTGTGCGCACGCGGCTCAAGGCGTCGCGGCGGTCGGCTGTTGACGATGCGACGTTTACGCGCATCTCGCACAGCCTGAATGTGGTCCCCTTCACCCGGCAGCTGCAGAGCGCGCAGGCGCTGAGCGGCGATTCCGGGTGGATCCTCAAGGAGGATAGTTACCTGCGGTGGGCCTCCTCTACCTCTCCCTCTACTACTACTACTCCCTCCGAGCCGTCCTTGTGGGTGTCGGGAGACGAAGGGCTGGGCAAAACCAAGGCAGCAGCCGAGGTAATCCAGGAGCTGCAGAAGCGAGAAGCAGACAACGACGTAGCCGGCGCCCGCAACGTGATGGTGGCCTACTTCTTCTGCGATGGGACCCCGGACGGAAGCAAGGCCGAGAACCTGCTCAAGTCGGTGTTATGGCAACTGGTGCTCAGCCGGCGGTCGCTGGCGCAGTATGTGCGGTCGTTTGCGGCCCCTCAGGACTCGAAGCTGTTCCGGGGCAGTGGCCAGGGCGGGGGAGCCGAGGAGCAGTTCAGCGTGACGAAGCTGTGGAAGGGGCTGGCGGATATGCTGCGGGATCCGTCGGTGCACGATGTGTACGTGGTTGTCAACAACCTGCACTACCTGTCGACCGAGCCCGGCAGCAGCAGCACGGCCGAGTTCCTGGACAACATCTCGCAGACCTTGGCCACCTCGGCCGAAGCGGCAGACGGAGCGGACGACCCGATCCGAGACAAGGTGCGGTGGCTGTTCCTCAGCCGAAACCGGGAATCCATCCGAGACGCGTTGGTCAGGAAACCCACGGCGAGTTACGGAGCGCCCGCCCTGCACATCGACCTCAACGGCTCGTCTATGAGCGCCGTTCGCCGCGAACAGATCCGGTCCTTTACGCGTGGCCGGGTTAAGGCGCTGGCCGAGTCCAAGGGCTACAGTCTGGCGCTGCAGTACTTTGTGTTTAGCAGCCTCGAGAAGCGGTCCGAGAGCAGCAACATGTGGGTGGACGTGGTCTGCTGCCTGCTGGAGAGCGTCCCGACCGATTTTACGTTGGTCCGCAAGCTGCTGGAGTCGATGCCGCAGGATCCCCATGTGCTGATCCAGCGCACCTGGGCGCAGGCGCTGAAGGAGGACGATAATAATCATAATAATACCGACAGCAACGGCAGCAGCAACAATAACCACGACATCGAGACCACCAAGGAGATCCTCCGCACGCTGGCGATCGCGTTCGAACCCCCGACAACGAACGAGTTGGCCGTGCTCGCGGGGCTGGATCTCGACCCGGACGATGCCGAGTTCGACGACAAGATCCTGGCCAAGATCCGCGACTGTGGGCCGCTGCTCCGGACATACGACACCGAGACCTGGGAAGACAGCGGCTACCAGTTTGCGACGCGTGTCGACTTCATCCACCCCATGGCCCGGGACGTGTTGTACAGTCGAGAGATGAAGCGGATGATCGGCCTGGCGGGCGATGATGATCGTGACGGCGACGAGGGCGATGAGGGCAGCAATACCGAGGTGCGCTGGCAGCACGGCATTGTCGGCCTGCGGTGCTTTGCGTACGTGCTCGGCCAGCTCGGGACGCCGGGCGAGGACGAGGACGAGAGTGAGACGCTGAAGCGGACTGCGTTGTCGGCCGAGGACCAGGCTGATGCCGAGATCAACGAGCTGTTTCCGGCCGATGAGGAGGACCTGGACCGAGGTTTGGGCAGTACGTCTGCCACTGCGGTTAACGACGGCGACACCGAAGAGACCGAAGCTTTGGACGGTGTTCTCGCGTACCCTCTGCAATACTGGCTGCAGCACGGCCACAAAGCAACTCCTGACTTTGTCGACACGCTCGACATCAACACGCACCACGGTTTCTGGGCCCCCGACTCGGCCGCGCGGCAGAAGTGGTGGGGCGAGTACGCGAGGAACGAGGCCTACACCGACCACAAAGACATGACGGCGCTGCACATCGCCGCCTACTTTGGCCTGCTTCCCTTGGTTAACTCGCTTCTTCAGAGCAAACACGGACAGGGGCACGCCCACGAGCTGCACGCCCACGACACCTGGGCCAACCAGCCGCTGCACTGGGCCGCCAGCCGGGGCCATGTCCAAGTCTGCGAGCGGCTGTTGGAGGCCGGGGCGGACATCGACGACGGCATCCGCACGGGTGACTGGACGCCGCTGCACATGGCCGCTTCGTCGGGGCAAGCCGAGGTCCTCAGGTATCTTCTCACGGCACACTCTTCTAGCTCCGGCCACCCGCGCCCGGCGGCGGATGTCAACGCCGTGGCCAAGGAAGTCGGCACGCCGCTGACACTGGCGATTTTGGCCCGCCAGTTCCAGGCCGCCGAGATCTTGCTGGCCCACGGCGCGAATACCACGCTGGCCGCAGTCGATTCCGAGCCGCCCGTTGCTGCGGCTGCTCTTCGCGGGTCGGAGGATCTGCTGGCTACACTGCTGAACGCCGGCGGTGGCGCGAATTTGGCCTCCCACGAGTACGGGACTGCCCTAGCGGCTGCGGCGTCGGTGGGCCAGGCCAACATCGTGAAGACGCTGCTCTCGCTGGACCCAGACCGGGCCTCGCACCAACATGCCCTGGAGCAAGCCGCGGCTGCTGGGTTCCAGAGTGTAATAACCGTCATTCTCAGAGGTTCTTCCTCTCCGGGAGGTCCTTTGCCGTGTGGTCGGGCCTTTGAGTTGGCGGCCGAGGCCGGGCACGAGAGCGTAGTGACGGAGCTCTGGGGCTATCACGAGTTCTACAGCACCAATTACAACATCCACAACATCATCTCGCCGCAGGCCGTCAACAACGCGCTGTACATGGCCACCGACATGCAACGCGACGTCACGGTCAACTTCCTCACGGAAACCTGCCGAGCCGACCCCAACGCGGCTACGGGGTCCGAGTACGGCAACGCTCTGACAGCCGCCGCCTTCGACGGCACGCTCCCCATCGTCCAGCTACTGCTCCAACGCGGAGCCCGCATGGACGCCCCCGAAGGCTACCCGCTGCAAGCGGCCGCGCGCAACGGCCACGCCGCCATCGTCACTCTCCTGCTCGACTGGGGCGCCGACCCCAACGCATTCACCCCGCACATCCCGGAGGGTACCGCTCTCCAGGCCGCCTGCACCGCCGTCGGCGGCAGTGTCACCACCGCAGAGGTCGCCCGGATCCTCCTCGCTCGCGGCGCCCACCCGGGCTATGGCGCCGGCGAGTACACCAACCCGCTGATCGCAGCCACCAACCACGGCCACGGCGAGACAGTCAGCCTCCTCCTGCAGTACCGTGCCGACCCCAACGTCCACGGCGGGCCGGATGGCAGCACCCCGCTCATCAACGCCGCTTGCACCCTGCCCTCGCAATACCTCGGCCAGCTGCTGCAGCACGGCGCGCATGTGGATCAGCCGGATCCCGACGAGGACACCGCGCTGATCATGTCAGCGCTCGTCGGCGACAACGACTGCGTGGAGTTGCTTCTCAACCACGGCGCGCGGGTGAACCTAGGCGGGAAACACAACGGCACGCCGTTGGAAGCAGCTGCGTCGAACGGGTACGCCGAGACCTGTCGGCTACTTCTTCGGCGTGGGGCTGACCCCAGCGTAGGCGCGGGGGGACCATACCACACGGTAATCCAAGCGGCTGCGGCGTCGGGGGATCCGGAGACGTTGAAAGTCGTTCTCGAGGCTGCTGCACGGCACAGCAAGATCCTAGGGAGGAGGGGCGTAGACGTCAATGCCCGAGGCGGCCTGCACACCACTGCCCTGCACGCGGCTGCTGTACAGCACAACGATCGCTGTCTGCGTCAGCTGCTTGCCCTAGATCCGGACCTCAATGTCATCGCACAGGCACCCCCTATCTCTACTACGAACACCGCCACCGCCACCGCTACTACCAGAAACGGCGAAGTCAAGTCGACAGACAAAGGGACAGGCACGCCCTTGCAAACAGCCATCCTGGCCCGGTGCGATCGCAACGCCCGCTTGCTGCTTGAGGCCGGTGCGGACCCCAACGTCGTGGCCGGGAATCACGGCACGGCCCTACAGGCGGCTGCGCTAAGGGGCAGCGGGGCGTTGGTTACGCTCTTATTAGAGAAGGGGGCTATTGTTGATGGAGGGGCTGGCGAGAAAGGGGATACTCATGGTAGTAGTATACGGGGCTTTTTGGCCGGCCAGGGGATCAAGAACAAGAAGGGAGATGCGAGCTGGAAAGCGCTAGGCAAATATGGCCATCCGTTGATCGCGGCCATTGCGCGTGTCGATGACGAGGAGGGCGAGCGGGCCGAAGTCCTGGAGGTGTTGCTTGCGTTGGAAAACAAGATTCCGGCCGAGGTGTACCACGCTGCGCTGGAGCGGGCCTGGCAACAGCGGGACAAGGACGTGTTCAAGCAGGTGTTGGCCACCGTGAAGGCTGTTGCGGCCAAGGACAAGAAGTGGTTTCCCAATGTGAAAGGGTTGCTGGCGCAATTGAAGAAGAGGCAGCGCGATCGGCGTGTTATTAACGATGCGAATAGCGATTTCGACGATGATGAGGTGATTGAGAGGCAGGATATTTATAGTGAGGACGAGGTCGGGAACGAGGACGAGGATGAGGACCAGGACCAGGACGAAAACCAGCATGGGCAAGATCAGCAGACATCGTCACGTTCTCTGGGCGGCGGAGCCGAGACGTCCCGCGGTGGTCAACGAGCCGGCGGCGAAACTGGTTTGCCATACCGTTCGGCACCTTCAGCTACCACAGCCGGCGGGGGCGTGGGAAGCGCGGACACGGGATCTGGCTCCTGGGCTGGCGGTGGTGGTGGTGGTGGTGGTGGTGGTGACCGACAGATGAACGACACCACTGGGCTTGGTGCCGGATACGGAGGAGATGGTGGAAATGGCGGTAAGATAACCCCACCGGCCCGATCATACGTGTCGTCGATGCTAACCGTAAATTCAGGCGATTATGCCGCGCCGGGCGGTGGCCAGGCCCGGGGCTTCGGTGGAGGCGAGCATCCAGACGACGGCGAAGGTGCGGAGGACGGGAATGGTCAGTATGGGGCGAGAAGTCTGGGCCAGGACCAGGGCCAGTACCAGCCGGCGGAGGAGCAGGATCATGAGGCGTATACGTCTCGTGATGTAGCCCAAGACCCGGAAGATGCGGAAGATGGACAGGTAGAAGGCCAGGATGATGACCAGGCTGAAGACCAGGAAGATCAGCAAGAAGACCAAGAGGATCAGCAAGAGGACCAAGACGAAGGCCAGGACGAGCAAGAGGAAGAGCAAGAAGAAGAACAAGAAGAAGAGCAGGAGGAAGAGCAAGAGGAGGAGCAGGAAGATGATGAGTAGAAAGGGTAATGGGGTCTTGGTAAGAGTGATGGCCAGGTAAACGTGCCGATTCACTCCGTAGGACACAGGTACATACAAATCCACATCCCTCCTCAAATACCCGAAACAACGGGGCCTGAAATTGCAGAGTGAAGGGGGGCTGCTGCACGACAGGCCGGACTTCATTGTGCATCAAACAAGTATACGAACTTATTGCGCTATATAGCATTAGTCTTTTGGCGGTTTGCGATTGAAGAGTACATGGAGTTGAGTGGAAGTGAGGTCTTACAGGTGAGGAGGGCAGCGATAATCAGTACACTAGGCCATTGTTAAAAGTGTTGGGGTGTTAACGTGAAGGCGCTGGACGAAAATGAATCCACGGTTGAAACTGTGACCTGTCCAGCAGCGACAACATGCGACAGTAAGGGCCAATTGCTGCAGCGGTTTACGATCCCTCTTTTGCGACAATCATAACTATCGCGGTTGAAACGGCCGATTGAACGTGGAACTTGCTTAGAACTAGGAATGTGCGTCTTCAAGGTGCGATTTGTTGAGATTGCTTTCCTAGAAGAGAATAAAGGAAAGAGCGACCCTATCCAAGCATACCCATAGTACACTTATTCAGTGTGCGCCACGTGCGACCACCCAGGGCAGGAGCATGACACTAGGTACCAGAAATCGTAAAGTTTTGATTGAAGATTGGAATTGGAAGGGGGGAAACGCTAGGATAATTAACCCGCAATCCCATACGGCTCAAATATCCAAGATATTGCTCCAATGCACATCGCAGTTTGCTTCGACTCATTAAAAAGTATGTACGGTGTACATATACGTACAATTCACTACAAGTTAAACCGACTACCCGGATTATTAAGTTCACAGACCCTGAGATACTGTTCCCGTATCCAGTCGACTTGCCCCCTACGTAACCCACGACAGATGAGGTCTCCGCCCTCCTTTGACAGCACTTTGACCAGGCTATTCAAGTGGAGCAATGCGTGTGAAGGGCCTTGAACTAGGATATGTCGCTTGTAATCGAAGAGATTCATCGCCTGATCCCCTGCTTCGTCCAAGTCTTGGCCGTGGTAGCTAGGGAATCTGATCTCTGGGTCCGTCAAGTCGTGCATGCCTCTGTGATGTTGCCGGTTGCCCAGGTAAAACGGCATGGACCGGCAGATGGAGTCCACCAACTCTCTTCCGCGGTTGGGATCTGGGAAACTGCATTCCTTGCCCTTGGTACTAGCCATCGACATGATTTGCTGCAGCGCCTCAGGGGGTGCTTTCGCAAGCAGACTAAGCTGCATCCGCAGGACCATGAGCCGGCAAACACGCCATACATTCCAGATGGTGGCAATCTGGACGGTCGGGTACACATCGCAGAACCCGTAGTAAGCCAAGGTGTCGTCTTGTTCGGATTTTATACAAGGCTGCCATGAGGCCGGCACCAACTGAACCCAATCCAAGAGTTGTGCATCCACGGACAACACGTCCTGCCACCAAGTCGCGAGGGCCTGACCATCCACCAAGCTATTGGTTTTGGCGCTCACGAGGATGGATAATCTCTTTTGTAAACCGGCAATCGAGAGCCCGATCATGTCCAAGACCGCATTCGGACTAGCATTAGCTGGCATAGAATCATCCCACCCCACAGCCGCATCGATCCAAACATCCAGACTGGAGGTATCATCCGGTTGCTCTTCCATATATGTCGACACATCGCAGTGCCGCAGGTAACCTCTCAAATACGCGCGGCACTCCGAATCCTCCGGGACCACGCCCCCACTCCCGCTCCCGGCGCCATGGTCGCCATGTGGATGTTCAAGCAACGCCCGAGCCCCGTCCTGGTGAACACGCATGGTACGCTGGTGCGTCGATCGAGCAGCAAGGCTCTCATAGAAATGCATCAGGATCGCGCTGAGCACGGTACTGTCCTTTGACCGCTCGAGGGGGTCATCGAGCGATGCTCGCAGGCGACGTAATGCCTTGGTAAACGGAGGATGAGGTGTTTGATAGCTGTTCGTTGTTGTTGTTGTTGTTGTTGGAGTTTTCCACATCCTCCAGAGCTTGGTTGACACGGCGACCAGGACGGTGGAGAGGACTGAGTCCGGGTGCTCCTTGGTTACGACGGGGAAAAGAGGCTCGAGGAAGCCCTGGGTTGAGTTGAAGCTGCGGCCTAGGCCCGCGATCGAGGTGAGGAAGAAATTGACGGCGAATGAGTCGTCGCTGGGGGTGATCGTTGCTGGTAATGGTACGATAGTCTGCTTTGTCCATTCTGGCGTTGTCGACAACATGCGAGGACTCCTCCTAGACCGTGATGTCGGCGAAAGGCGGCGCCTTGCAGCCACAGTGTGAGTGCCCTGGTCCTTGAACCGAATCCCGCCCGTCTTTTTCTTCTCTGATTCGTAACCTCCACACTCCCGTCCCAGCCGGAGGCATTCACGACAGCTTGGCCTGTCCTCGTCGCATTTTACGCGTCGTTTGCGACATGTCGAGCAGCCCTTTGAGGGGCCATGGTTGACCATGTTTTGTTTGCAGTGAGTGTTGCGCAATGATCATGCAACGGCTCACGAGGGGCCGAAGACCGATGATGTCGCTTCTGGTTGATGAGAGTTGGTGCCACGCGGCCGATTCTGTTTTTTTTTTTGCGATTCGCTGCATCCTTCTCATCTGCCGGACTTGCGTTGCTATGTAGCAAGACTTGGGTCTTATGGGCTGGGCTGCCGAGGCTACCTCTGCTAGGATGGCAGTGTTTGCGATGGAAGGATGGGAGTTGCGACAGCCGTGGGGTGGCTGAGTCGAACCAGAGAGGCTAAGATCTGTAGGCAGAGCTTACAAGGCGACCAATCGCAAAGAAATTGCCTTGTCCGTCCTAGTCGTCGTGCTGACGGTATTATTCAACCAGGAAAACACCAATCGCAAAACAAGGTTGGATGCACAGCTGGTGGGTTGCTCTTGAGTGCTGGAACAGATTGTGAGAACAGGCAAACGGCGATAAAAGGGAGTGCATCGCCGGGAATATGGTAACTTGAAGATGTGGTCAATACCATCGTCAGCAACTCAGGCTCACTGCCAACCCGACCCAATCGTCTCTATTGTACAGTATACACATACTTCCTAGTGCCTTTAAAAATGAAGTCAACTTTCCTGTTCAGCGCTGCCCTACTAGGGGCAACGGTAGTCTCAAGCTCCATTCTCTCCCGCGACTCTGAGTCTGGGCCACCACCTTCGTCAAACGAGCAGCCGGAGGATCCCATCATCCCCCTAAGCAACGATACCAGCTTCCATTTCGAGCTCCTCTTCACCCTCGGAAACACCGTCTTCGGCGCCGGCGACGTCAACGACGTCCTAGCCGCCGCCAAAGCCATCAAACCCGGCAACTTCACCAGCTGGCTCGAGACCTTCCACGCGCTGGCCGAACACACCAAGACGCAAGCCGAAGACCCAAACAACGCGTACGACCCAGTGAATGTCCGGGACGCCTGGTTCGCCGCATCGAGCTACTACCGCCAGGCCGACTTCTACAACCACGCCAACTGGACAGACCCTCGTATCAACAGCTTCTGGCTCGAGCAACGCGCTGCGTTTGACAAGGCGCTTGCTGCGCTGCCCGTTCCTGGCGAACGGATCCAGATCCCGACCGATAACAATTTCACTATTGAAGCCATCTGGTACCCAGCCGCAGCCGCAGCTGACGGGGTCAAACAGCGGCCGACCTTGGTAATCGGCAACGGATACGACGCCGGCCAGGAAGATTCCTACCACTCCTTCGTCGTCCCAGCCCTGGCCCGCGGGTGGAATGTCCTAACCTACGAAGGACCAGGGCAGCCGACGGTTCGGCGCAATGATGACATTGGGTTCATCCCCGATTGGGAGAAGGTTCTCACGCCCGTGATCGACGAGTTGCTGAATCGCAAAGGCTGCTACGTCGACGAAGACCGGCTGGTCCTTGTTGGCATTTCCATGGGTGGGTATCTGGCCGCTCGCGCTGCTGCGTTTGAGCCTCGGATTAAGGCGCTTATTCTCAATGGTGGCGTGTGGGATATCTACGAGGGATACTCCGGTCATCTGACGCCGGAGCTGAAAGAGCTTCTCGATGCGGGCAAGCAAGAGGAATTTGACGAGGCTGTGTTGCCGCTTTTGGAGAGCCCAGAGGTGCCTGTGACCCTGCGGTGGGGGCTGGGACACGGACTGTGGTGCTTCAAACAGCATTCCCCGTACTTGTGGCTCGAATCGCTTAAGGATTACGCGCTCAAGGACGTTGTTGAGAGGATCAAGGTACCTGTTCTTGTTGTCGATTCCGAGTTTGAGGGGTTCTTCGCTGGTCAGCCGGAGGTTGTCAAGGACGCACTCGGCGATAAGGCAACTTACAAGTTCTTCAAGGGAACAGCTGGATATCACGTCCAAGTTGGAGCTGGGCAGGAGTGGAACAGGTACCTGTTTGCCTGGCTGAACAAGATACTAGGGTGAGCAGGATTAGCTTCAATGTGTCGCGACTCGGCCTAGAGGTTAGCCAAAAAGGTCATTTGTATTAGATAGCAATAGATGGGTACGAGGAGGAACAGAAAAACGGGCTCATATTTCATGTCTATTCTCTTTCCCCTCGCTCCGGATCACCTCCGCATACTCCCAATCAGCTCCCGCTGAGTATCACGCTCACGCTGGCCATCACTCAAGCTACCCAGACTGCGCAGGTCACCAACGACGTCCTTGGCCTTGCCAAAATAGACCTCCTGCAGCAGGTTGCGCATCTTGAGTTCCATGTCCTCGACGAGGCGGCCAATGTTGGCGATGTGGCTCTCGTCGTTCTCGACGGGCAGGTCCGACTCGACCTGGCGTGTCATGTTGCCGCTGAGGTCGACCTCGCCGAGCGCGGCGCCCTTGGTGGCGAGGGTGAGGATCACGGTGGAGGTCAGGCGGTAGTTGGAGGTGCGGCCGCGCTCGCTGGCTTCGAAGACGTGGATGGAGTCCCAGACGCCGGAGGAGGCGCTGTCGTTTTGGGGGGAGGCTAGTATTTGTGTTAGCCAATCCAATCTCCGTTATACAATAGGGGAGGGAGAGAAAAAAGAAAACTCACACTTCTTCAACAACACCACACCCGCAAACCCATCATCCAGATTCCACAAATACACCGAACTCACCCCCCCCTCATAATACAAATCCCGATACACATCAAACGCCTCATTAGCCTTCACCTCCATCTTCCTCACCCTCTCTCCCGGCACCCCCCCTTCCCCAGCGCCCTCATTACTCCCCCCAGGCCCAACACCACCCACCCCAGCACCCCCTTCCCCTTCAGCACTCCCACCCCCCGCACCACTCCCAGATCCGCCCTGATCATCAAGAGGCGGATCAAACTGGTTGCTCCAGGGGCTGCGGTAGCTGTCGCCGTCGCGGTTGTAGTCGCAGAGCAGGTAGTCGCGGCCAGATTGTTTGCAGCGGCGGACGGTGAGGGGCTGGTCGACGGAGGAGAGGAGGTCTTCGGTGAGTTCGGGGGCGAGGGCGATGATGTTGTTGAGGTGCTCGCCGGTTTGTTTGGGGTTCAGGCGGCGGAGGAGGTCGCTGGGCGAGTGGTTGTTAGAAGGGGACCGAGAGCTCTGGGGAGATTGGATTGGGGGATAGGGGGACCAAGGGAGAAGGGGAGCTTACAGCGCCGAGTCGAAGGGGTCTGGGCTAGCCATGTTTGCGCGTGACCTCGCTTGGTGTCTGCTGACGCTTGTTGTTCTAGGTCAATTCGCTGGTCGGAAATGCCCGAAATATTCCAAGGCCGAGGCTGTTTGTCGTCGGTGTTTGGTCGGTTTGGGCTGATGTTTGGCGTCGCGGGGTGCTTGCCTTGCTGCACGGGAGCTTGCGCTGTGCTGTGGGGTCCAGATTTGGCGGGGTCTGAGGCTCGTGCGTTTCATTGCAGGGGTAGTGTGACAGGGGTCATGGAAGGTCTGGTGGAGCTGACGAGTGGGTCCCGCCCGGGACGGGAATGCCCCGTCATCTTTCAGGCCTGGTTTCGTCTGAAACTCTTGAACGCGGTCTTCGTCCTGCATCAACATTAAATTGACCATTGATACGTGCCGGTTCACAGAGATACAGGTTGATCCGGGACATCTAATGGGGATTTGATTGTATTTTGAGACTGCATCATGGCGCCGCCAAAGAATGCGCAGGTCGGCGTAAAAGCAGCGTCGACTCCGTCGAGAGACGGAGCAAATGGAAGCTTGGGGATATGGTTGTTAGGTAAGTATGAGAATGGGATTTTTTAAGACATGACATTGATACGATGCTAACGGTCCAGACACCCTCCTCGCTCTCTCAATACCCGCTCTCATCCTCGTCTACCTTGTCGTGGCCCCCCACACCAAAGTCGAGGAGTCCTTCAACATCCAGGCCACCCACGATATCCTCGCATATGGAACACCAACATCCGACATCTACAACCGCCTCTCGTCCACCTATGACCACTTCGACTTCCCCGGGGCCGTGCCGCGCACCTTTGTTGGCGCCGTCCTGCTCGCCGGGTTCGCAGACCCCATCGTGGCCCTGGTCGGCTTCCAGCATGCCCAGCTTGTCGTGCGCGCCCTCCTCGGCCTTTTCAACGCCGGCTGTCTGCTCTATTTCGCGCGCAACCTCCGACGTGCGTACGGGCCGGGGCCAGCGAGGTGGTATCTTCTTCTCCAGGCCAGCCAGTTTCATGTGCTGTTCTATGCCTCGCGCACTCTGCCGAACATGTTTGCCTTTGGACTGAGTGCGTTGCCCCTGAGATGTCTTGGTCTTGATACACTTTGATTTACTAACTCTTCTCAGCAACCCTCGCCTTCGCCTTCCTCGTCCCCCACCCCACCAACCCCGGGCGCGCCGCTCCCCGCCAGCGCATGGCCATCACCACCCTCGTCTTCGCCGCGGTCATCTTCCGTTCCGAAGTCGCCTTGCTGCTCATCGCCACGACCCTGCACCAGATCCTCGTCCCCTGCCTCGACCTCCAGCGCGTGGTCTTCCCGTTCACCGTATCCTTCATCATCGCCCTCGCCATCTCGGTGCCCATCGACAGCTACTTCTGGCAGCCCGCTTCCGGCCTGATCTGGCCTGAACTCGCAGCCTTCCACTTCAACGTCGTCGGCGGCCATGCTACCGAGTGGGGCATCGAACCGTGGTGGTGGTATTTCAAATCTGCCCTGCCGCGTCTGTTGCTCAACCCGGTCGTGTTCGCTGGGCTGTTGCCGTACGCCCTCTGGTGGCCGTGGCAAACCCCGGGCGTGTCCCGGGCCGCGAGCCGACTAGTGACGCCCTCTGTGTTGTTCGTCGCGCTGTTCTCGTTCCAGCCGCACAAAGAAGCGCGGTTTGTGCTGTACGCTGTACCCCCCCTGACGGCCGCGGCCGCATTGGGGGCCAACCAACTGTGGCGAAACGCCCAGCTTAGCCTCACGGGCCACGACGAAAAGGAGAAGAAGAAACCTAGCAAGGGTATCACGGCCGCGCTATCCCCGCTCGCGGCCCTCGTGGTTATCCTATCCATCCTCGCCTCCATCGCCGCCAGCGGAGCCAAGCTCGCCCTCAGCGCGCTCAACTACCCAGGCGGCGAAGCCCTCACCCACGTCCGCGACATTGTCCAGCCGGGCCGGGAAGCCACCACCCCCTACCAACACGGCGATATTGTCTCCGTCCACGCCGACGTCCTCGCTTGCATGACCGGCGTGACCCTCTTCCACACCGGCTCCCACCCAGCTGATCTCCGTCTACGCCTTCCAGGTCTCGAAACATCAGACCAAACCACTACCGAGGACAAACCCACCACTATCAAAATCCACAACACCAACACCAACACCAACACCAACACCAACAACCCCACCCCCTCTAACGACTCCCACGGCCCTCCCGCAATCTACCTCGACAAAACTGAAGACCCCACCGTCCTCGCCGACCCCGTCTTCTGGTCCCAATTCGATTACCTCCTCCTCCACGACCCGGCATCCACGCTTCCCAGCGGCCAGAACCAGGCAGCAGGTGTATGGGAGACTGTCGGGGTTGTACAGGGGTATGCTGGGGTGGAGGTCTTGCGGCCGGAATCCACGCCGGCCTCAGACTCTGGTGAAGCGGGCAAGGGCGATGGGGGCGATAAGGATGAGAACTCACCTCCTGTCGTCGGTCTGGGGAAATGTGTCGCGGAGTGGAAAGATTGGGCAAGGAAATACACGGGGGGCTGGTGGGTTGGTCCGCGGATGGTGGATCAGATATATATTCTGCGGAGGGTTCATGGTCTGGAGCAGGATAGTGAGGGGGGTGATGGGAGTGGGAAGGGGATTGCCGTGGAGAGTAGTTGAGGAGGGGGGTGGACTATAATATGATGTTTGTTTTGTAGTGAAGACAAGATGTGCTGCTATATGACGGGTGGATATACATGGAGAAGAGGGGAAAAAGAGGGCAGTGATTATTTGGGTGTTTGGGAGTTGGGGACTGCAATGTAATTTGTGGAGTCTGGACCGTTATCTGTAAGGTAGTTATTCCTCTTGGATCAAAATCGTCACTTGGGATGTGTTGTACATATATCAGTCTTCGGTGTTTATATCCTAGGTTTTGTGATTATCTTGAGTGTTTTATCAGGGGATATATGACCACCCTGCGTGTTTACAAGATATCAAGGAGGTAGGTACATGTAACAGGGAACATTACGCCATCCCTACCTTCCAATGTGTTGTTATTGCGTTTATATACGAATGATGGGTAATGGGGTGGGCCACTTTGGGTGATCACCAAAACGCCACTCCTTCCCCCATCCTAGGTACCTACTTACACCACACCATATAAGCCCGTTTTCCCTTCGCACTGTCACCAGCTCCTCCCAATCCGCCAAACACCCAATGTGTTTGGCACAGCGGCATTGGGAGGAGCACCCCACGCCAATTCCGTCGTAAATCGAAGTGGCTCCGGGTTCGATTCCCCGGGCCAGCGAAGAAAAGGCCTTCCCTTCCAGGTGGTGGGCTTTTCGTAACTACCGACCGCTATCCCTTCGGATGGGGATAGGGTTCGGTGGTGAGCTTTTTGGATGGGTTTCTTTTCTTTTTTTTCCCTTTCTCTTGTTGTACTTGTCATCATGGGTTGCATGGTTATTAAAGGAGGGATTGGCAATGCCCAGTTGGGATGGAATGGGTGAATGTATGTACATGTATCCATGTTTTTCTCATCTGCCTTCTCATGGCAAGTTTCCCTGAAATAAACAACAACAGCTCCTGTGTAAGTAAAGCTAGCAAACCGTCTTCCATACTCCATCCAGTGCCAATTCTTTCTTAAATTTTATTTGTACCCCTTTCCTTTCCACAGCCCACTTAGCCCAATTCCTCTCACATATCTTTCCTACCTCATCGATATCCTTCCTCTCATACTACCTAACTAAGATCCACTCATATGTCCCCCTCAACATTCCAAACCTCAACCCCCACACCCCCCACCATCAACTTCCCTGGTGCAATCCTCTCGAGACAGCCCGCGTCGGCTACAGCGCTGTACCGGTTTTGCAGTAGTTGTATTTGCACTCCTCGTCCGGTGTTGTTGTTTGCATGCTGCAGCACCCGCCACAGCTTCACCCGCTGGTCGTTGCTGGCTGTGGTGATTTCGAGGTGGGTTTCTGCCCCTGTTTCTGTTTCTGTTTCTGGGTCTGTTTCTGCTTCTCCTCCCAAATCAGATCCAGACCCCCCGGACCCATAACCAAGCCGTGGTGCCGCGCGCACAACAGTAAGAGAAACCCCCGTGATGCCTGCAGCATGTGCGTCGCGAACACGATACCGACCGACAACCGCATACCCCCCTTTCACACTGCCGGATTCCTCTTTTTCTTCCCCTTCTGTTCTCTGCACCACAGAAGAAGACGAGGGCCGGAACACCAACTCAACCAACCCAAGCGCATTATCATCCCCCCCCGTAGCAATCACCCACCTCAATGCCCCTCCAGCCACCGCCCGAGTAGACCGCGTCACGGCCAAGTCGAGACTTTTGATACTACTCTGGTGTAGGCGGACGACCAGCGCGAGGTGGAATTTTGCTGCTTCTTCTTCTTCTTCCTCCCCTTTTTCTGTTTCCCCTTGTTCTGTTCCCCTCTCTGTTCCCACCGCCCCCCTAGGACCAAAACCGGCCCTCCACACAGCCACATGCCCATCCGTAAACGCCGTCAGGGCATGTATCTCTCTTCCTGCACCTGCGCTGTCCACTCGTAGATGGCGGACCTGTGTGGGACAGGCGCCTGTGTACCGGCCGACTGCGAGGCGTTGGAAGAGGGGTGGTTTTTTCTGGTGGGTGCTAGTACTGTTGGAGGAGGGCGTGCTGGTTGTGGAGGCGGAGGAGGTGGTGGGTTTGGTAGTGGTGTCCTCGACAGGAGGACGGTACACATAACTCCGGATGCTGGAATCCGACAGGACCATGGTTATGAGCAGGGCTGGACTCTCCGTCTTCCCTTCTATGTCCTTGTCGTTCTTGTCATCTCCGCAAGCATCATCATCATGCCACGCGGCAACATCAAAATCGACAACCCGCAAATCACAGTCAGCGCTGCGGTCGTCCCAGACAGCCTCACGCATCACGGCCAGGGGGTCGTAGGAGTCAGACCCCAAGCGCGAGAGACGCCAGAGGAAGAGCTCTTCGCTGCCTGCGCTGCTGAGTAGGTAAGAGGGGGTGTTTCTTGTGTTTCTCGAACGTGTGTTTGTTGAGGGTGGGTTTCTCGGAGATAAAGAGGAGGAGTCGGGAAAAGAAAAGAAGCGCAGGGCCTGAATACCAGCCGAGTGGCCTTGGAGAATGGCGAGCGGGACCAATTCGCTTGAGGAAGAGGAGGAGGATGCATCCTGTTTCCAGATCCGGATCGTGGTATCCTCTGCCGCTGTCGCTACCAACACTTCTTTCTCTTCCTCTCTCTCCCCTCGACCCCTAGAAACCGACCCAGCCCCAGACTTAGACTCCGACTCCGCGACCCAACTCCCAGCAACAGCCTTAATCTCCCTCCCATGCCCCCCGGTCTTTACCACGCTCTCCTGCACGCTTCCCTGAGACACCACCCTGAGTGTCCCAGCCTGGGAGAACACAAACCGGGTCTGGCCTGGATCTGACGCGCGCGAGACGGTGGCAAAGGGCCGGTGGGCGCCGCCGCAGGGAACGCGTGAGAGAACGGTGCGGGTGGTGTCGTTGTAGGTTAGGAAGTGCGGGCCGTGGAAGCCGTGGAGGATGAGCTGGCTTTTGTGTTTCTTTTCTTGGTTGTTGTCTGGGGGGTTGTGGGAATCTTGAGGGAGAGGCCGGGTGAAGAAGGCAGATTCGAGGGTGTTGAGGGGTGGTGCGATTTCGTGCAAGAGGTGCAGGGTGCTGCTGTCGACATCAAGAGAGTAAATCCGGCACTTGCCATCGCGGCAGGTGGTGAGAAACAGCAACGACCCCCCCTCTGGGACCCCAGGGATCGGGACAATCGCGGTGACGGCGTCCTTAGTCTTGCCATCCCTGCGCGAGGCCTGCGGGTCGTAGTGGCCCGCCGTCGTATCGCCGCGCGCGTAGACCGTTAGGGCGCCCGTCCGCGATCCCGTGAGGAGCGTACCTCGGCAGAGAAGGGCCGAGGTCATGATGTACTGCCGGGGCAACTTGATTGTGTCCGAATCGATCGAGGCCGTGCTGGTGGACGGGTTGAAGTGTAGAAAGACGGCGTGGTCCCATCCTAGCATGTTTAGGACTACCTCCCACGGTTGTCTTTGGTTTTGGGGGTGTCCGTAGTCCGCCGGCGCAAGGAGCAGGATGTCGGAGATCTTGGTCCCGAGACTGGCTACCTCACGCACTTGCCCTCTCTCGGCCCCGTGCTCATACACATACACCCTGCCGGTCGCGCTGCCGAGGACAAGCGTGTCCTTAGCCGGGCTCTTGATGACGTTGTATGACCGGAGGTCCGCCACAATGGCCTCGGGCACCGGGACTTCCTCCCAGACAAGCGGCGCGCCCATAGTCGCCAGGAACAGCCGCCCTGCAGCCGTCGCGGCCAGGACCGAGTCCGATAGGAAGGCGTACCGCTGGAACGACTCTTTTGTCTTTTTCCTGGCCCCCTCTCCGGGACTATTCCCCGAAATGCTCTGGAGAACGTCGTCCAGAGTCAGGCTGAGATCCAAGTCTTCGTACATCGTCGCAGTATCCCTTGGCCCAGCCCGCCCCGACACCACAATTTTGCCATCCGCACCGCCCGACGCAGCCAGCGGCTCGTTGTCCTCCCTCCACAGCACCGTCGCCGACCAGATGTTCTTCCCGCCGTGGCACGTACTCGCCGCGCCGGGCCTCAGTTGCCCTCGCATCCTCTCTGCCCCTTTCTTTTCTTTTTCACCCAACTCTGTTGAACCTCCGTCCAACTCCAACTCCAGCTCCCACCTCTGCCGCGAGCAGTCCTCCCCAAACGAGTACAACTCCACCGTCTGCCCGCCCGATCGCGGTGGCCCCCGCCCAAACTTGACATGCCAGATCCGCGACACATGACCCATCGCCACAGCCACACACCGCGAGGTCCCTTTGTCGTCTCCATCCCCTTTTATCTCTGCGTTATCAAGAACATGCCCAACCCCAGCATCATCCCCACCAAACCCCGTCTCCCTGGCCCCATCCAATCCAGCCTGAAACGAAGATTCTCTCGCTGACTCCCGCTCCGTGATATCCCACACCCGCACCGTCCGATCATCACTGCAGGTCGCCAACAACCGCACCGTCTCTTCTTTCCTCTCCCCATCCAAGCCGGTACCTGCTACAGGCAGTACCATCTCAGGCGAGATACTCACCCCGAAAATCGACCCTTCATGGCCTGTCAGAACGTAGAGGACTTCATACCGTTCCCTCCCACGCTCATTACCGCCGTCGAGACCAGGAATAAAGTACTTCCACACGGCAATCTCTCCAAATACCGTGCCGGCCGCAACCAGCAGCGTCGAAGGGTCGAGAAGCGCCAGGTTGGCCGAGTAGAGGATCGGTCGGGAGGGGGAGGTTACCGGGCCGAAGGTTAGTGTCTGCCCCCTATCCGGTTGTTGCTGCTGCTCTGGGTCCCCCGAGTACCAGAAGGAAAAGGGCAGGATCCCATTGTGCGCTGTGACTAGCGCGCCGGAGAGCTGCTGTGTGTCCTCCTCGGACTGGGATTGAGACTGCTCATGGTAAAGAATCCCGTCGTAGATCCAGTCCGGCGCGTGGTATTCCACCGGGCTGAGTACCTCCTTTCCCTCTGCCGCTTCAACATCCTCCCGCTGCTCCCCACTCAAAACACCCTCAATAAGACCTAGCACATCCCCCGCCGGGAGCACAGCAACCGACTGACCGCCCCATACCAACACCGGGCATCCACGCCCTGACTCCGATCCAGAAGACGCCTCATAAACATAAATCCCATGCACAGCCTGCGCCTCAAACACCTTGATCTTTCCAACTAACCGTGACGGTCCCGCTGCTGGCGATACGTCGTACACCTTGAGCCAGGTATCTTCCCCTGCGAGGAGCAGTATCCGGTCTTTGTCATCCTGGGATGAGAGACCGTAAAAGGCGAGTGCGGTAACTGGGCTGAGGCCGTAGCTGTGTGATAGGGTAGACGGTATTTGGGCGGGCGTCCGGGTGACGGCCTGGCTCTGGGGGGTGTTAGTTTTTTTCCTCGTCCGTGAGCGAGGGTTACTTGTGAGTGAAAATGAGGGTGAGTGTGAGTGTGAAGGTGAGGGGTTGTTGTCGAGTTTTCGAATGGGGGTTTGGATCGGGGGTGAGAAACGGGACATACCGGTTGAGCCATTTGGCCGGTTGTGTATATATTACTGTTAACAAACGTGAAAATAAATTTCCCTCCCTTTTATTCACATCGTCATGAGGTGTTGTCTCGGCGTGGTTATCGAGTTCAAATTTCGAGTCATGGCTTCCTATTTTGGAAGTTGTGCATATACCCTAACCCCAACCCTAACCCGGCCATAACCCTGATGCGCCCCCTCCGAGGCGTCCGGAGCGCCTCAACACCAAGCCCAAAGTCATGATATCCGTGGACATCGACTCCAAGTTTGTCATATTCTACACACACACTAGTGCCTTGAATTGTCAAACTACACTTGTGTAATATCAGCTCTTACGGACACAAATTCCAGGTTTCAGGTCCACCTGGCCTGGCCTGGCCTTTGGTCAGAATCAGAACCAGGATTTCGATCTCGACCTCGACCTCGACCACCCCGGCTGTATCGTACACCCAGCCAACGGGCTTACGAATTCTCATCCAACCTTGATCTCTACAAGATCTACACGCTTTGACCAGTTCCCAAACTAGGAAAACATACTTCGCTGGTGCACGTTCTTCGCACCGGTGAATCAGTTAAATTACCTCCGCAGAAACCTCGACCGGCAGTTCCAATAACTTTCTACTCTCTATCCACACTATCCACAGCTCACACACAAAACGTAGCCTCACTGACCACTCCTTCTCAAACAACGGTAGATCTACCCGTACATAGTATAGACCAAGTGTATGCAACCTCCCGGTCCAGCCCGGCAGCATCGCAACCTCGGAGTGCCACCCTCCCCCTCGTTTCAACCCCTGTTGTTTGCTTGTTCGCTTTTTTTCCCCGCCTCCTCCCCGCCATACGGCTGCATCTATCCGTCCATCTATCCGTCCGTCCATCCGCTCGTACATACATACATGCCCACGGCGGTGTGCGCGGCAGGAGGAAAATTAAAGCCCATCGGGGATGGATGGGCGGGCAAGAGACAGGGGAGTATGAAGGAGAGGGGGGTATCAATACCTACTTTAAACCTGCAAGCAAGGCCCTGCAAATTACATGTCCGTTCCGAGGTGGGGATGTACATTACATGTACTACGTGCCATTCTCATGAATACCGGCCCCGGCGTCGTGCGGCGAGTAGTGTACGACTGGCGGGACGGCGGGATGGTGAGCCGAGGATATGTACAGTCGAGGGTATGTACAGTCGGGCGTTAAACCCGTGCCGTGCCGTGGGGGAGGTTGTCCATCCTATTGCTGCTGATAAGTGGTAGTTGGAGGAGTTAAGAGTTAGAGAGACGTATGACAAACAGGAACACAAACTGCAAAGATTTGGAACAGTGATAGATAATCATGAAAAAGGTGTATTTCATCAACCCGGTCAGGGTATCATATCATAGCGCTCGTTGAGGGAATATCTCTCTCCTTCACCCGGGCGTCTTCTCCCCATCCATCTATCTGTTGGCCGCTCTAAAACCCCGAGGACCGACCGACCACCCTTCCCATTCCCGAATCGTCTCGGGTCCGGAATAATAAGAAAAGATCCCTTCCAAACGCCAAACTAATGCAAGCTGGAAAGAGATCGCATAAGGAAAAAAAGTAATAAAAGAAAAATCCCCCCCAACTGACATCGAATTCCACAGAGATTCACGCCTCTCATCCCAGACCACTCCTCCTGTTAGACTTCCATCCCCTTACACACGCGCATGCGAGTACGGCTCATAAGCCCCACCGCTCTGCCCACCATACGCCTGACGCGGGTACTCCTGGCCATACGCACCGTTATATCCACCGGGCTCGCTGAGCCGGCTGTACCCAGCGCCACCGGCCGCACCACCCATAAACTTCTCCGACTCAGCACCGCGGTTCCGGTGCGACCGCGAGTGATGATCCGGCTTGCAGCAGCAGATAGTAAACATCCAGAACAGACCCGCCGCCAGCGCAAACGCCACGGCCAACCAAATAGCCGCGAGGAAGCGAGTGTTTAGCGAACCATGCACGCCATAGATCTCGGCGGAGGCCTCGACCGCGCCGACGATGATGACTGAGGTGGCGGTAGCCAGACCCGCGGCAGCGCCGGTAGCGATGACAGCGAAGCCGGCGACGAGCCAGGTGACGCAGGAGAAAGCCCGGGAGCAGTTAGCGAAGAGGCCGAAGAGCAGTTCGACGCCGAGGGCGACGTAGGCGATGATGAAGACGACCTGGGTCCACTTGGAGACGTTGACAAAGGCGCGCACGGCGTCGGTGATCTCCTTGGGCATGGTGACGTTGAAGCCGTTCGGGGTGACGAGGCTGTAGTCGCGGCCGTCGGTCAAGTTGAGCTCGTTGGCGGCCCAGTCGAAGCGGGAGCCCGTGCAGTCGTGGGTGCCGTTCTCGGCGGTGTAGCAGAAGTTCCAGACGTTGACGTCGTAAATGTCGTAGAGGCCCAGGTCCTTGGCGGTGATGTTGGTGCTGCCGGCCTGCACTTGGCGTTTGGTGATGCCGAGCCCGGACAGGTCGACATTGGTGATGTCCGGCAATCCTTCGCCCTTGAGGATGCTTGATACTGAGTTTTGCGAGAGCTGGAGGTCGGTCACGTTGACGCGGAACATGTACAGCGACTTGTCTGCGATGCCGGCCAGACCTGCTACGAGCATTGCTGCCAGTGCGGCCAGCGTCAGCAGGAATGGCACCAGCACGCACACGAACCGCCCAAAGTTCGCCATCGTATCGGTTGTTTTTTGTTGTCCCTTAAATTATTTTCGGGTCGCTCTTAGTTGTGGTAGTTTCCGGTAGTTTCAAGGATATCGAGAGGCAATTGGGTGTTGTCGCTCGAACACTTTTTGTTGTCGGCTACCGAGAAAGTGGGGTGACGTAAGTCGGTAGTGCAGGGTGTTGCAAAGAGGCTCCGAGTGTTTCAGCGAGTGAGGCGAAGCAAGAGTGCCACAACAAACTCTTTTGGAATTAAAAACCCAAGAGCCCGACGATGGGAGGAGAGGTGAATAGATAGGAAACGAATAACAAAGGGAGGCACAGAAAAAAAACGGCCGAGGAGGGTTGTAAGATAAATAGCGGCCCACGGCCAGAGAGGCAAATGCCCAAAACAAACCGACTCTGACCCGCTGCTGACGGGTTGGCAGGGCTGGTTGCAGGGTCGCTGGGCACAAGAGGGCTGTGTTTTCGGCCGACAAGTGGCGCAGTTGGCACCAACCCCTGCGAGTGACGGTGCGGGACCCACTTCCCGACCCAGCAACTTTCCATTCCGCTGCTTCGAAAGCTGGAAGGGACGAGGGGCAGAGCCCCACTCTCTACTGTTCGCTGTTGATGGAATGGAGGGGCTTGAGGGAAAATGCTCAACGTGAGCCAGGCTGCTGTCTAAAACCCCGGCCAGGCCTCCAAAAAGCCAAGCCCAAGCGAGCCAAGCATTTTTCCCGATGCCCCAGCCTGCAACAACGCGTGGCCCATGGAGCGCAGCGCAGCACCCGGACCCCGGAATCAAAGACACCCGCACTTCACCTCACTCATCGCTGTGGCTGCTGGCATCAGCATTTTACTCAAAACGGACAAAACCTCGCATCCCAGAACTCCATCTAGTTGTCGGGACAGACACGACAAGATTGCAGATCGGCAAAAGGGGCAGACCGAGCATCACAGCATTTGCACTGCGAGCTTTTTGCTAGATTCGGCTTTGCTGTGATTCTCATGCTGCACTGCTGCACTGCTGCCCACAACCCGCAGCCTTTCCAACCAACGGCCGACCCAACTTGCATGGTCGGCTCGGCCCCAGGTTGATTATTTGCCCTAGCCTCCCAGCATCACCTCCCTTCCCAAGCAGGAGGTGGTATTCTGAGCGCACGCCATAGCTTCAGAAATGCAGTTGGGGAGATTACCCGAGAGACAGCTTTGCCCGTCTCCCGCCCTCAGCACAGTACACTTACATGTAGCCGGTCTTTTCTCTGGCCTGTTTTGGCCGATGGCCAGAAAAGGTAACCACCACGGAAACAAAACAAAATCCTCTAACTTTTTCCCACTCACTTTTTCCATACATATTCGCTACATCGGCGTATCGGCGCCCAACCCCTAATATAAATCCCCGAGCGGTTCAAAACCGGAAATCAAACAAAGACGGAAAAATAAACATAAAGAGTAATTATGTCGAAAGTGCCCGATCAGAGTTGGAACTCGCAAATCAGGCAGGTTCCTGCTTTCAACGCAGATCCTAGAGGGGAACAAAAAGTTGGGCAGATCCTTTCCCATGGTGGCAGCTTATTGGCGTTGCAGAATCTCAAACACCCCACTAGATGAGGTCGTAACTGGAGCTGCCAGCCACAGCAACGCGTCTTTGTTGTTGATTTTCCTGTTATCATTCTTTGAGCATTATCTCCGTCCTGTTGTCGGGCTGATATTGCGGGGCCTGGCTTGCTCGCATGAGCGAAGCGTCGGGCAACAAGCGGTGGGCCTTCCTTCCAATTGGCTTCGTTCCGACAATCGGGAGACGAGCCCACACAAACCTCTTCCTCTCTTCCACCGTGGCTGGCGAGCTGACGACTCCAATGGCTGTGTCTGTCTCGTGGCTGGCACTTCGTACAAGAGACCGGTTCCGGATCTCTGTCTTTCTGTCTCCCGAACTGTCCAATGACAAAATCACAAGGGATTGGCAAAATTCAATGCGATCTCGCACCGTTTACGAACCTTGAAAGAACGGGCTCCGTGTTCTATCGGTCGACGATGTCGCTTGCTTGTTAGTGTGCGCAGTGTGTGCCAATATGCGCAGTGTGGGTGGTGCCAATATGCGCATCTTCCCGTGCCCCTTCACATTGTAGCCCCAGAATTGGCTTGAAACTCCCTTGGTGTACAGTCCGTACTCAGCAAACACTGTGAAAATTGCGGATGAGAGCCTCCCGTGCTTCTGAATAGTGGATTCCACTGGTGTTTGTGGCGGGTTGGACATTTGACGATTCTGGTGGCTGGCAAGCTGGGCCACGTCGTGGTGCGCCAGAGAGGCAGAGTTCTAAATTTGGAAGTCTGCCTGGTCCGATTCCACACATTTGCAGAGAGTGGCGTGTGGCGTCGGGCAGTGGGAGAGGAGGTGGGGGCACTCGTCTTTTGGGCCCCGGGTGGTGAGCTGAGCGGCCTTGGCGACCCCGGCCTCCACCAAGTCCGCCCGGATCCGCAACCAGAATGGCCGACTCCGGCTTCGGGCCCGGTCGCCCACGTTTGGCGGTCCGAATCACGGTCTTGGGTCGCCCGGCCGGCCGGTCTTGCTCCTTTGGACAACACCAATGGCCCCAATTGCTCGTGAAGTAATTATGATAATTATGATGCCCACTTCAAAACTAAGAGCGAGAAAATGAAGCAAAAAAGGTGACACACCTCATTCTTCTTCCGGATACGGATTATTGGGCGGTCATTGTCGTCCCTTCGTGCCACGAAGTTATCGTCGTTTATTTTCCGGGTGCGCTGGCGACTTGTCGTTCGGCAGGCCGGATCAGCGTGGGACGCCGGTTTGATCAGGCCGACCAACCCACGATCCCGCCGTGCCGACTCGTTTGTCCCCCCACCGAGCAACCCCAAAGCCCCCAACAAACCTTGTGTGTGTCGTTCGCTGCTGCTGCACTTGTACCAATCCGGAACCGACACCAGCAAATCGGGGGATGAAACACCGAATCACCGGCCCGTCTGGCGAAATCTCTTCGTTTCTTCGACAGATCCTTTTCTGGGCACCACACCGCTTCCAAAAAAGACAACTGGGGGTCGGTCATGTGGCCAAACAGCTGTCGCATGGGGAGAAGGAATGGGGAAACATCTGGGCCAAAATGCAGAAAACCCGGAGACCCTTGCCGGCCCCCCTGGCGAACTGCGAATGAACTCATATCAACGACACAGTGATTTCTCAAAATCCCCGCCAGGTGAGAGCGGGAGAGGAAAGGATGAGAGTCGCATCGCATTACGCTGGCTAGTGGCCTTCCGTGTGGTTCGAAACCCGTCGCTGATCGGCTGCATTCCTGCGCGACAGCTTTGCTTCGAGTTTGATGAGTGTGCTGCGTACTGCGTATGAATGTATGTATTTTGAATGCGAGCCATATCAAGATCTGGACGAAACAGAAATGAAAGTCGGAGATGCGCGATCTAGAGTGTTGGGGAGAGTCCGGGTCCGTGTTCCGGGAATCAAGAGTTTGTTCCAACTCCCACACATCCACAGCAGGACCAAGCCGGACGCTGTCTCGTCTCACCTGGTGCATAGGGCCCGTGGAACCCTGGAAGGGATGGAGGCCAAGCAAGAGCTGAACCATGGAATGAGCCCCCCAACCTTGAAAGCGTAATGCCAATTCTTTTCGTTCCTTTTCTCTGTGTTTCTTTTTCCTTTCCGTGGTCTTGGTGTCTTACCCACGGCGTCGCCAAGTCTCGTGGGTGTCGCGCTCATAGAAATACTCGTAGCAATATCCACGACCCGCTCCTGTGTCGTTATCCGCGAGGAGATGCAACGGCGCGATGGTTTTGAGTTAGCCCGGCTCAATGTTAGTTAGCTTAAGGCTCTTTCTAGCCGCCCACGAGACGGGATCCGACGCCTGCCTCTCAACCGGTGCGCATGGCAGGTGCAGTCCCGCGGATGGACCGCTCTGGACGTCGCAGGCTCCGCAAGTCAGTGCAAGGCACGCCTGAGGATGCGGGGCTGCGCTAGCCCCGGAAGGGTGCCCTGCAGTGCGCAACCGCCTCGACTCCAGCAGGAGATGAGGCACGTGCTGCCAGCAAAGCCACCGATTGTCGAAAGCTCTCCTGCCGTCCCGTCGTCACCTCATGTTGCTATTTTGTTGTGTTTCCTACCTACCACCTTCCTCGCATTTCTTACCATTTGAGACGCACTGCCCGCCCGTTCTTTCCTCATCACGTCGTTGGGCTCCAGCTGCCCCTTAGGTTGCGAAACGAGATTGTCCCGCGAGTTCACACCCCTGGCCGACTCCCCTGTCACTTGTTAGGATCCCCGGTAGCTTAGCGCAATCAGAACCCCCCGCCATTCTTGGAGCACCTTCCGCAGCCGATGACGACGGTTCTCTCTGAACGACTTTTTTCTCTTGAGCAAGTCCAACCTTGCACACCGAAAACCTTTTTGACAACCACCTGCAAAGTGACGGGACCCTTTTACCTATCCATCGCTCGGGAAATCGACAATTGTTGTTTGCATCTCTAGATTACACGCGCACGCTCACGGTCCCCTCGTCCTGGTTTTTATCCCGTTCGACGGTAGAGCCCCCAGCCCCTAACCCGCCTTGAGACCTGGTTCCCTGGCCGCTCGTGGCAATCGAATCCCTAGTGGCGATCCCGCAGCTGCGGCGAACTGCGCGCGTCTGTCTGACCGACCACTCACCCGATTTCTCCTTCTACATCTCGCCTACATACTTGCCCGTCTTGTCGTCGTCCCTCGCGATCCCAAACTCCGTTCCTCCTCCCTTTTTCGCCCCGATAAATAGCGGGACCCGACCGAACCGAGCCGCGCTATCCCATCCAAGCCGCTTAGGCCAACACCAAAGGAATCCATTGTCGTGCTTGGCGTGATAACTCTTGGTTATTTCCTCCTTCCTTCTTATCGGCCGCCGAGCGAATGTAGGTTTTTCTCCCCACGGCATTGTCTCTTGTGCACTCCCCACATTTATCCTTTTTGCTCTTTACATGCGCCCCTCTCCCTCCTCAGTATTACCCGGAGGCTATTGATTTTCTACTTCCCCCCCGGTTTAAATCTCGTCGCGTGGTCCTTCGGTTGCGCGCAGCGTCCCGTTCCGTCCACGCAGCTGACATCATCGAAACCCGCAAAGTTTTACAACGCCGGCCTCCAACAGCCCCCGACACCGACCTCGCGCTTAGTTCTTAACCCCCTCCCTCCGATCGACCTTGGCCCGCCCGTCCGCCCGATAATTCCGAAAGGTATCCGCGGCGCGCCCCGGCGTCCATATCTCCGACCACTAATCTCGCTATTCACCTTGCGCGCAGTCGCAAATCTTTGAAAACGGAACAATCACCGGGACGTTGGTCTTCTACCGCCATCGCCCTGCTTTCCGATCTCGAGCGTTTCTACCACCCTCCCTAATACATAGGGGACACCAAACAAACAAATTTCTTCCAGACGGGTGCAGCGGTAGGCTGTGTGGGTATTCAAAGGCAACCCTGCCGGTACCACAAACCTGACACGCGCGCACCGTCCAACCCCTTGACTTCTCCATAGCAGAGTTATCGCATCTCTGACCCCGAGAAACCATGGGCAACCAGAATTCCAAGGATGCCAGCGCCGGCTCCAAGGGCACCGGAAGCGGCGACGACGCGCTGCAGTCGTACCCCTCCTTCAGCCGCTCGGACACCAGGGACTCGTCGCGCTCGTTCCGCTCGCTCCGATCCAAAATCCCAGGCTCCGGAAAGACAGACAGCCCCAGGGGCTCGACTATCCTGTCGAACGGCGATTCCTCCTTAGAGAGATCCGACGTGGGTTCGCCCACGCCGGGGAAGAATGGGAGATCTCCGCATGGCCGCGGCAACCGCTCTGATTCTCTTCCTAGCCCGAGTTCACCTTCCTCACCCGATGCTGCCGGAGTAGGGTCCCCGCTTTCCGAGGAGATCCCGCCGCCATCCCCTATCCAGTCGCAATCCATGAAGGTGGGAACACATGACGTCGCGGCCGCTCAAGCGAGCGGAGAGGTCGATCAGGTCTCCGACCAGCCGCCCTCTGGCTCGGCGGGTGCGGATCTGGCTGCACAACAGCCTGGGCAGAGTATTTTGGTCAAGCGCGGGGATACCGCGATTCCGGTGTATGACAGTTATACGCAGGGCTCCTCCAAGGACGAGAATGGAACAGGAATCGCCATGAACGACATCCAGGATATCGACCTCGATGACTTCATCAAACGCCTGTTGGATGCGGCTTACGCTGGAAAGGTCACGAAGAGCGTGTGCCTGAAGAATGCCGAGATCACCGCCATCTGCCATCGCGCCCGCGAAGTTCTGTTGTCTCAGCCGGCGCTGCTTGAGCTGGACGCTCCGGTCAAGATCGTCGGCGACGTTCACGGTCAATACACGGATCTGATCCGCATGTTTGAGATGTGTGGGTTCCCGCCCAAGTCCAACTACTTGTTCCTCGGCGACTACGTGGACCGCGGCAAGCAATCGCTCGAGACGATCCTGCTGCTGCTCTGCTACAAGCTCAAGTACCCCGAGAACTTCTTCCTCCTTCGTGGCAATCACGAGTGTGCCAATGTCACCCGAGTGTACGGCTTCTACGACGAATGCAAGCGGAGGTGCAACGTCAAGGTGTGGAAGACCTTCATCGATACGTTCAACTGCCTGCCCATCGCCGCCATTGTGGCCGGCAAGATTTTTTGCGTTCACGGTGGCCTATCACCGGCGCTCAGCCACATGGACGACATCCGAAACATTGCGCGGCCGACGGATGTCCCCGACTATGGCCTTCTCAACGATTTGCTCTGGTCTGATCCAGCCGATATGGAGCAGGATTGGGAGGCCAACGAGCGAGGCGTTAGTTATTGCTTCGGGAAGAAGGTCATTACGGACTTCCTGGCGGCCAACGACTTCGACCTGGTCTGCCGGGCTCACATGGTGGTGGAGGATGGTTACGAGTTTTTCACGGACCGTGTCTTGGTCACCGTATTCAGCGCACCGAACGTGAGTTTCTGTCGATCCCGGGTTGGGCTTTTTCGTGTAGGGTAAACTAACCGATTCTAGTACTGCGGAGAGTTTGATAACTGGGGCGCTGTCATGTCCGTGTCAACCGAGCTCCTGTGCAGCTTCGAGCTGCTCAAGCCCTTGGATTCAAACGCCCTCAAGCACCACATCAAGAAGGGCAGGAACAAGCGAGCCCAGATGCTTAACAGCCCAGTATGTTTTCCCGACTATAAAAGTGCGCCTAAGAAAAGTACTGACCCATTTCTTTTAGCCTGCTGGGTTGTACCCCCAAAGCGTTTGAGCCATCAATGATGGTAGGGGGCGAAGTACTTTCGCGATGCATTGACTTATTCATGTTGGGAAAGACGAGGTTATACCGCCGACTAAACGACCCTACGCGAGCCGAGTCGAAGGACAGATGCGGCGGTGCCACGAAGAACACGGACAAACGGACTGATGGGCCGGCCAAAAACACGGGTCCCCGGAATCACACGAGCGTCAACCGGCGCGGCACGAGTCATATACCCAGCGATACCCGGCGTTAGCGCCGCGGCGTCAAAGAAGATGGCTGAGAATGGAACAGAGCAGCAAATTCGCGGATGGGCCGAGACGGGTGACGGCGAGATCGATCTCCACTCCTTTGATCACGACAACTAATCCTCGGGTGCCTTTAACTGGGCACCCTTTGCTAGCGCTTGCTATCACGGCGGACATATTGCATTTATTTGGGACAAGGGCGAGGGGGTACATACGTTATCCTCCGGCGGGTTCTGGGGGGCAGTTTGAGAAATCGAACCGAGCCCTCGGAGCAGCTGTTGCAGATGGATGGATCCCGGGCCGTGCCGAACACGGGAACGGACGGACGGGAAGCAGGGGGTCGGACACAAAGGGGAAGAAGCTCTGGAAAACGGGCTGCCAAACGTATGCATGTACCAGCCGTGTGTGGCGGGATTGTTGCATTAGCACCAGCAAGCCAGCATATGCATGCATACTCATGTCACCCTGCTTCTTGGCCTGGCTACCTTTCGGTTGTTGGGCGGATGCCACGGACGGATACCACGGATGCTATGGATTGGTTTAATGAAATAAAATACCCCTGGGTTCTTTTTGAGAGTTCGGACCGGGTTTTGGGGGTCAGGAGAGGGGTCCGTAGTCTGTAGCGTACGTTAATATAAAGGGATTGTTTTGCGATTTGCGGCGTGTGTGTGCTGCCGTGATAGTGTGTCTACTATATAGATGGTGTTTTCTTCCTGTCGTGATTGGTTACACTAGCGTTGTGGCCTCAGGGATATGGATTCCAGCAATGTTAAACTGGCTTATGAGCCTGATATTGCCAAGTTTCCGTGACGCGAGTATGTACATACGTACAAATACGCCCAACGTCCTCCAACGCCGGGAGACTCCAACCTCATAGGTGCCCAAACTAGCACAGCAAGACCAATTCTATATTCTATGCCACACACACGCAAGGAGCAACGGCATACGCACGGAACGTTTCAGATATTAATCTCTCTTTTCTCTTTTTCTCTTGCCCTCGTGGAAAAAGAAAGCTGAATAGAAAAACAAAGACAGAAAAAAGACCGCGGACAAACCGTTAACTACACGGATAGAGACGTCAAGTTCAAGATCTGATACAGATGTATATACCTACCTATCTACCTACCTGCCAATTTACGTACTCTGTCAAACATCTTCGCGATCTTTATCTTGTTCGGGTCCTGGGAAAAATAGCCCTTCGCTGCGCTGCGTTGTAGTGTTTAGTTGTTGTTTTGTTGCTTGGGAGGTTTAGCCCCCTTTCTTGCAAAGCAGGAATGTAATGTAGTCAATAGTGTGGTCGGTCATACTGTTATACACAATGCAACCCGGTTCCGTTTCCTATCGTCATCGTCTTGCAGGCCGGGTAAATATCGTCTCGAAGTATAAAAGGGAGTCCATTTCCTGCAGAGATAGACAGTGGTCTTTTGTGCCAGCTTGTCAAAATGTAGTAGAGGATGTAGAGGTGGTAAAGGCGACGCAAAGGCGACGTAGATGAGGTAGGTAAATGCAAAGTACAGTCTAACCCACCACACCCGCCAGTTATCACCATTCATGATCGGTTAAAAATGTATTTCCTGACTGAACGATGTTCCTATTGTGTGCCGAAAAACACCATCCCAGTTTTACACACAAGTCTCTATCTCTCAAAAAAGTAAAATTACCCATCCGAAACCTCATCAAGCCCTTATTTCTCCTTGCTCTTTCGCTTGTGCCTGTACCGTAAACCAACTAGCCAACCAACCAGGAAATCCCCAAAGAACCTCCCCCAAACCAGAAACAACTAACCGACCCCTCTACAGCCAAGCCGAACCCGGCAAAACCAACACTCAAACCCCAATCATGGTCCTCCCCCTACCCCCCTCACTCCTCCAACTCCCTCCAGACCCAGCCCACGGCCACCCCTACGCCGCAACAACCGGGTCATGGTTCCGCCCGCGGTGCTCCCCGCCCCCATTCAAACTCGCATCCGTCCCCGCCACCGAATGGCTCAGCTCGTCATCCCCCCCCACGAGATGCCCCTTCTCATTCAACCCATGTTCTCCCACCTCCTCATCATCCTCGTCTTCCTCCTCATCCCCATCGACACCATACTCATGCTGGTGCTGATGCTGGTGATGACCAGCCGATACCCACGCGTCATGCAACGGCTGGTCCTGCGCCGATAGATCATGCCCCTGCCCCTGGATCAGATGTTGTCCTCCACCCTCGGAACGAGCCTTGATATTATTCCGTCTGCGCTGGGACAGCGTGCGCGAGCGGGTGGATAGCTTGGAGGACACGGCAGCGTTCTGCGTGACCCAATTGGTGAGGGCGTCCTCGCAGTCCTGGATGATGGCTTTGCTGGCCTCGTAGCCGTCGTAGGCCGGGCGGGTTTCGCCGGGGGTCACGGGGGTGTCGTCGATGAGCTCGAGGAGGTGTTTGCCGTAGCCGGCGATAATGGCGACTTTTTCCGAGTGCTCGCGCAGGGCGTCGAATTGGTAGGCGTAGGCGGCTTTGACCTTTTCGCGGGTGATGTTGGAGAGCTGGGCTTCGGCGACGAGGGACTCAGCTTCGGCGCGGACGAGTTCTTGCTCGAGGACGACGATTTTGGGGGAATTGGGCTCTTTGTATTTGAGTTGGGCGATTTGGTCGGTGATTTTTTGTTTTCCTGCCACGGATCATGATTAGCGATGTCCTTGAAGTGCCTTGTTTTGTGTTGAGAAAGGTGTAGTGAGAAGAGTATAATGCTTACTGTCGCGGCTGGGTTGGACCGACGCCTCAATGTTCCGGATGCTCTTCATCGTCACACGGTATTGGTCGTAGCGGTCGACATACTGGTCCTCGAGCTCGCCAATCTCGTACAGCAGCACCCCCAACTTGTCCGTGATATCCGACACATCCTCATCGCCGGCCTCGCCCCATTGTGACAGTTGGTGCTGCCGTGTGTTAGCCTTTCAAGTCCGAAAGAAGGGATAGGAGTAAATAAAAAAACATACAGCAACCTCCATCCGCTCCTTTGCCACCAGCTCCAAGCTTCGCATCACATTCTTCTCCATCTTAACGAGCTGCGACAGCTTCTTAGCGAGGTCGGGCCCGAAAGCGCCGGCGGCATTTCGGCGGAGCGCATGGCCGAAGCCGCCGCGACCAAAGAGACGGCCGGATTTCGTGCTGGACGGCGGCGGCGGGGGGTTCTAAATGTCCAAGTCAGCAAAGCTCGAGAGGGCCCGGGGCAGCTCAGCTAGCCGGGTAGCGTTGCAGTCGTTTGATTTGAGACCGTACCTGAATCTGAGAAGCCGTAGGCGCCCTCGTGGAGCGCATAGAATATGTGCGATGCATGGCGACCGCGGTTAGGGGTGTTTGCGCAAGAGGTGGTGTTGGTTAAAAGAATTGGCAATCAATTATGGGAACTCTGTTGCCCAAACAAAACGGGACAAACAAATTGATGTTGCGCCTGTCAATTGCCCGCAGAAAGTATCAAAACTTTAGCGAAAAACCAATAGTCGCAAATCTGTCGCAAATCTGATAAGTAAACCTGTCGGACGATTTGAATCATGCACATGCGGTGGTGGAGGAGAGTGTGGCAGAATCAGACCAACGGGTCGGGCGGGAACTGGGTTTGTTTTCTGCAACAGTCCTCAAATGACGTCGCCGTGCAACCAGGGGATCGGCGGTCGCATGGTGGCACTGGGGCTTAGATTACAGACCGCAATCTGCCGGGCGGTCACGCCCTTGAAAGCCAGCCCATCCAGCTGCATATGGGTACCTAAACATCACATACCAAGCAGTCTTGCACAATGGAGGCCGAAGACGACGTTCATGTCGACCATGTTCCGTGCCCGCTCTCAGCTGCTATCAATTCCGAGCTTCAGCTCCTCAGGAAGCGACATCGTGGGCAGCCAGAATGCTACCGGCTCTCAACAGCTCGACTTGCCATGGCCCCACGCGAGCCGACGACAACACTCGTTGTAAGTTGTGGTACACATATTGCGGGACCTTATTCCCCATCGGCCCGTATTAATAGGATAACCGTTGGGTAAAGCACTTCTGGTTCCGCACCCGTTACGTCTCTGCGTCTGCTTGTCAGATTTCCCACCTGCATTCCCATGTCCTAGGACTCCGGATCTGCCCGTCGACGATGGCTCGCTTCTTCACATCCGCTTCCCAGCTCCTCCCCGCTTTTATCCGGTCTTGGGTCCAAGCTATTTTTCCGGAGTGGTTTCTTCCCGACCGTGCTGTACTCAAGATACAAAAACCCGGCGAAGACCAAGAAATCATGGATGAATATTTTGACACCGAAATCAAGGCGTATCGGTGGCTCAAGCCGCTACAGGGTGTTATTATACCCAAGTTTTACGGCCTGCTGCGCTACAACGGAACAAGGGCTATGTTGCTCGAGTACTTGAGGGGCGTCTCGCTATATTCTCCGGAGGCCGGAACTATGACCTTGGAGGAGCTGTCAAGTTTGCTACAGCCATGTTACCGAGCAATCGATGCCTTTGGTGTGCATCAGGATGACGCCAACTTGTTAAACTTTCAACTTGTGGAAGGTAAAATAAAGGTGCTGGATCTTGAGAGCGTCGTGTTTCTTTACTCCGCGGATCAAAGAGAATTTTTCATAGTGTCGAGTATTCACCACCTAGCCAGCCAGTATCTGTCGATGCGGGCACATTATTCGTTTCCGCATCGGCGTTATTTGGAAGCAGCGGCTTGATCCCTTGATGGTGAAGATCTCTAAGGTACCAGTAGACATTTACATACATCCATTGTCTCCTACATCTCTCAATATTCATAAACACATTGCACTGTCTTTGACGTATCTCGACATTTGAAAACCCAACTTCGAAACTCAACATTGGAATCTCAACTAGGTGGACAGTGGAAAGTGGACTTGGACCGTGCAGTACATAGTATTTATCGCACGGCGTTCCCTTATGTATGGCCCGTGCACGCCTGGATCCTTAGTGCTTGCACAGCCAAGAAATCGCGTCCCCTCCAGCACCGCGTCTCGGCTGCAACCGGAGGGTCACGGTGGCGATCGCAAGAACCCTCAGCGAAAGCTCACGCGAGCCATTAACGCGATACGATACGCGCAGCTTGCACTGGCCCGGTATGCATTCCGATAATCATCACTGACTAATTCGCGTGGTCTCGGTCTTGGAAGATTGCCCATCGAATTGGTTCTCTTTTCCCCCAACAAGCCGACTAAAAAGGACGAAAAAGGAGGAAGAAAGTTCGAGACGGAAAGGTGGCACGAAAACTCCGAAGAGACTGTGAATCGGGGCAAATGGTCATCGGAACAGCCTGCCAGGCTCTTTGAGACGGACCGTGCCTGGTAGTGCATTGCCGTGCGATCAAGCGACCGACCGACCCAACGATCGATCAATTGATCCGACACAATGGAAGCGTCCGACGATGGCACAGCAGAAGAGGTGGTGGTCGCATCGAGTCGTCCCGCTCCGACCAGCGCGGGCGGTAGCAGCAGCAGCAGCATATTGACCAGCGTGCGCAGCTCATCGGTGTCTCTCTCCGGCGCGTCGTCTTCCAAGTCGAGTCTCCGCGGTGTCCCGGGCGCATTGGCCGCGGCCATCCCAAGCAAGCTGCAGAACCCACTCCCCGCCGTGTCGCAGAAGAGACGGACGCCCAATGCGTCGCCTGTAGCGGCAGCATCAGCAGCACCATCAGCAGGGACAGCAGCAGCAGGAGAAGTAACAGGAGTAACAGCAGCAGCAGCAGCAGGCCGGCCCACCCGAACCATAGATTCCACCCCCTCACGGACCTCTCGATATTCCACGCGCGACGTCGTTCGAGACTCCCAATCCCAATCCCAATCGCCCGCGCCCAGCGTCGACCTGTCCACCCAGCAACCACCGCCACCAGCACCGCGTTCTTCCCCACAGCCAGCAGCGAGCAGCCGAATGCCTCGAGGCGCCGTACCGACGTTTACAGCGCAGACCCCTAAGCGGGCAGTTGCGTGGACGGTGGACAAGATTGCGGATGCGCTGGTGGAGCTGTCGGAGCAGGTTGGCCAGGACCATGCGATGCTGGTCGAGTACTTGCTGGAGGAGGCCGAGAAGCAGACGCGGCCGCCGGGACACTTGGAGGCGGAGGATGCGTTTGCGGGGATGAAGTCGATTGCGTTGGAGAGTGGGAGCGTGCCGCCTGCGGGGGTGGAGATGATGGAGGTTAAGTTCAAGGTAGGTTTCAAGTTGTGGTAACAGACTTAGACTTCAATGACTGACCGTCGCAGCAACACAGTGGCGAGCACGGTAGAACCCGGGGCAGCGGCCGGCGCGCGCTGTATCCCGTCCGGTGCATCAAACCCGACCGCGAACCGGTCCCCGGCTACCGATTCCACCACGTCGAGATCCGCAAGAACATCCTGGCGCCCAACTCGATGCTCAACTTTGTACCCCACCTGCGCGACGTGGACCCGAACACGGAAGAAGAGAAAATGTACAACAGCTGGCTGCGAGACCTCGAGAGCCTGGACACCAAGTCCGGGTTCCAGATCCAGAACCGGGCACAGAAGCTGGCCCGGCGGGCGCAGAACGAGTACGCGGCTACGCTTACCCCTTACCTCGAGCCGTGGCTGCAGCAGCTGGCCATCGACGGGTGCACCAAGTCCACGCTGATCCGCTACATGGCCAGCCAGGCGCCGCACGACGACGCGGCCATCACACCGCAGCAAAAGTCGAACCTGCTCGACACCCACAGCGACAGCGTCGTCGGGGCGTCTCCGCGCAGCGCAAAGGGGGCCAAGATGTTCACCGAGGCGTTCGACCGGGTGTTTGACGACGACGGCGGCGACAAGCGGAAGCTGAGGCATGTCGCGCTGCGGGATATCCTGATGCTGGACAAGTCGGTCGAGCCGATCCTGGACAACAAGCGAGCCAAGGATGGAGCGGGAACGGGGTCGAGCCAGCCGAAGCAGTTGCCGCGCGGCCAGGTGGTGATGGAGAGGGTGGAAGAGGCGCTGGGGAGCTACTCGGCGCTGGGGTGTTTGATCTGTTTTAGTCATGACTGCGAGCACGGTGAGATCGAGCGGGACAACCAGAAGCGGTGTTTTTCGTTGGAGGAGATCGGGGGCCTCGAGCCGACGTTGCGGCGGAAGTGGGCGGCTCAACTGGAGGCGCAGGCCCAGACTCAGACTCCGACACAGAACGGGACGACTACTACTACGACTACGGTGGCAGCCCGACCGACACATCAGCCGTGCCGGAACCAGTGCTACCGGAGCTACAACACCGGCCACCCGGACGCGGAGGTCGAGCCGTGGTCGGAGAGCGACGTCGGCGTGCTGGAGTGGATGTTCGCGGCCATCGGACACAGCCCCTCGCTCAAGGCGCAGTGCTTCGTGGGTGCCATCCTCGGGCGCCACTGCTGGGACGTCCACCGCAAACTGAAGGAGCTCGACTTGTCTCTGCCACCGGCTGAACCGCCCGTCGAAGAGCAGCAGAATCAGAATCAACAAAAACCCCAGAAGGGACAGCAACAGCAACAAAGCAAACCAGCCAAGCCGCCCAAGGCGATACCATGGTACGACCGCAAGAAGAAACAGCTCCTCGGCGACTGGCAAGACGCCACCGTCACTCACGAACACGCCGTCCGCGAGCTATTCCCCCCCTGCCACCACGACGGTCCTTGCACAGCAGCCAACGGCTGCCCCTGCGCCTCAGCCGGCTCCCACCCAGTCCTCTGCGAGCGCTTCTGCCTCTGCACGGCCGACGAATGCGCGCTCAAGTTCACCGGCTGCGCCTGTCACTCTTCCGGCAAGACCTGCATCCAGCGCCAAAAAGAAGGCCGCCCTTGCATCTGCGTGCAGCTCAACCGCGAGTGCGACCCGGGTCTCTGCCGGGGCTGTGGCGCGCGTGAACGCGCCGACCCGGAGAATGCCTACGACGAAGCGCTACACGCTACCGGGTGCCAGAACGTGGCCATGCAGCGCGGGGCGCCCAAGGCCGTGCTGCTAGGTAAATCGCAGCTGGAAGCGTGCGGGTACGGGCTCTTCACAGCCGAGGACATCGCGCCGGACGAGTTTGTCATCGAGTACACAGGCGAACTGATCAGCCACGACGAGGGCGTGCGGCGCGAGCACCGGCGCGGCGATGTCTTTGACGAGGAGAACAAGGTATCCTACCTCTTTACGCTGCTAGAGCAGGAAGGTATATGGGTCGACGCGGCCATGTACGGGAACCTAAGCCGGTACATCAACCACGCGTCGTCGGCCAACGCGAATATCATGCCCCGTATCATGTATGTCAACCACGAGTTCCGCATCAAGTTCATCGCCATCCGCGACATCCGCGCGGGCGAGGAGCTGTTCTTCAACTACGGCGACAACTTCCCTAATCTCACCAAGAAACTCGTCGAGCGGAACAATGAGAAGGCCGGCGGGAGCAGCGACGGCGGTAGTAAGAATACCGTTGGGGGCGGCGCAAAACGCAAGGGCCCGGCTACTCACACGGCGAGGAAGACAACCTCGAAGAACACGTTTCCTGACGACGGACTTGATGACGACGATGCGTGGCTTAACGGGGCGATGATGCCCTTGCCGGAGGATGATGATCTCAACGATGAATGGGGGAATCCCAAGCGAAGGAAGAAACGTGGCGGGAGGCGGCCGGGCGCGGGGCGGAAGAAGAAGCAGCCTCAACCGCAACCATCTGCTGGGCTAGACGCAGCAGATGACGATATCAGCCCGGACTCACAGCTCCTCACTGAAAACAGCAACGCTACAGCCGCTGCTATGTCCGAACAACAAAACGACATAGACCCTTCGACCCCTTCCCGCCGACGAATCACGAAACGCTCCTACGCGTCTATGGTCAACCCGCAGAGCCTGAACCCGTCCGCGTCAAATTCCGACACGGGCGCGGGGAGCCCGTCTGTTAAGCAGCATCAACAACTTCCCATACTGAAAAAAGTATCCAGACGTGGCGGCGCGAGGCCGGGAGCGGGCAGGAAGCCGAAACATCGCCCGCCTGGGTCGGCTGGAGCGATGACAGCGACGGCGACAGCGGCGAAGGCTGGAACTGGGGCTGGGGTAGCTGGAGTGACCGAGACAGGGGGGGAGAAAGGGACTACTGCCCCCAGCATGCATGCGCGACAGAGTAGTAGTTTGAGTAGTTTGCTGCCGGAGGCGGGGGAAGTTGGGAAGGAGACGCCTATTAGGGAGAAGAGGGGTGTTTCCGCCGGTGCTGGCGGTGGTGGTACTGGCGTTGCTGCTGGGGCTTTCTATGGTACTGGTACTGCGAATGGGACGGGTACTGGTAATGGTAACGGTACTGGGACTGGCAATGGTACGAGGGCTGCGACTGCGACTGCGAACGGCTCCGCAGCATCAACACCCCCCAAGACAGACGCAGTAGCAAACGGCACGCGGAAACGCAAGGCTGCCGAGGCCGAGCTAGCGGAGGGTATTTTTCTCTCTCTGAGCAGCCAGCAGTCTAATCACAGCGCTAATCATACCAACCACCACCACCACGCTACCCGCCACAATCACGCCAAAGATACCAGAGACCCCAACAACGACACCACTAACGATTCCAACCATCCCACCGGGCGCAATCCGCCGTCGGTACAACGAGGTTTTTATAGCAACGGGACCTTCCAGCCGATCCATGACGATTCAGCCCCCGCTTCTGTCCCGGCATCTGCGTCTGCTTCCGCTCCCGTTTCAGCCTCGCATTCGGCTTCGACGTCGTTCTCGCTTTCTGTGGCCGAGAGTAGCGGTGGGACGCGACGGAATCAAAGGGAGACTCGGATTCTGTTTACTTCTTCTGCTTCTGGAAGTGGGCCTAGTACTAGGGAAAAGGAAAAGGAACGGGAAAGGGGAGCAAAAGAAAAAGAGGGAGGAAGAGAACAACAAGGCGGGGGTTATGAAACAAGGGCACGTCAGACGAGAGCGGGCGGTAAAGAGAGGAATAGAAATGGATATATACAGGGTGATGCAGATGGGTATTCTGGTGCGGATGGATACGGAGGAGGAGGAGAAATGGACGCGGACGGAGACACGGATAGGGAAGACGACGTGATTGATCGGTCGGCGCGTAAGAGGCAGAAGCCGCTGCGGTACCGGGATGAGGAGGAGTAGGTCTCCTGGTAGTCTTGTCTTGTACTGTATTCTACGGTGGGTGGGGATGAGGAGAGCGTATAGGGGGATGAGAGCTGGGATTGAGAGTGGGGTTATATGACCTCGACAACCTGAATAACACCACCGTCTAGTACCTTATTCTCCCACTTCCGTAAACAATAGCGAGAGAAATGGACATGCTGGAGCAACAGTAGCCCGTGAACCCACCGTGGACCAAGTACTTAAACTACCCCACACGACACTTCCCCCTTCACTTCTTTCCGTCCAATATTTCCATGTTCACATCTGCATCTACATATCTCCCTTTCTCTTTCTTTATCCACCACTCCCCCTTTCCAGCCCTGTTTCCAGCCCAGTTTCCTATCCCATCGTCCACTTCTAAGCCATACCCGCTCAATCACCTTCACCCCCCTCTTCCCGTACCCTCACCTCCCTTCCCATCACATCCTTCCCACCGCCCCATTCTAAGCCAAACCCCCTAATTCATCCCCCCAAACCAGGCTTCTAAGCCAGACCTCAAGTCAGACCCCTCAGTCATCCCCCGAAGCCATCTCCCAAGTCAAACTCCAAGTTATCCCCCTAAGCCAGGCCTTCAAGCCAGACTGCAAGTCATCCCCCTAAGCCAACTTCAAATCTGATCCTCAAGCCGACTTTAAGTCAAACCCCTATAACAGACCCCTCCCCCGTAACTGACTCGCAAACTCTTCAACCTCTATCTTCACAATATACTGCCCTGGCACTACGACTAACCCAAGGTAGCGGGATGTGAGGTCTAGTTTTATTTTTGAGGTGGTAGTTTCAGTTGTTGTGGTAGTTGTGGTAGTTTCAGTTGTTGTTGGGTTTGTTGGGTTTGAGTTTGTTGGGTCTCCCTGGGTTGTGCTGGTTGTGACTTCTCGGGTTATGGTCATGCCTTGTTGGGGTGGATTGGGGGATTGGTTTGGGTCGGTGGTTATGGTTGTGGTTGTGGTGGGATTTTGGTTTGCGGTAGGGCTAGCCTCTTGGGGTGGATTTGTGGGGGTAGTACTTTGTGGAGTTGCGGGGGTACTTTGTGAGGTGCTGGATTTCCCTTGTGTGGTGGTTTGTGGGCTGCCGGCAGTGCTTAACGTCACGGGGGTGGGCGAGGACTGGTCTGCATTGGATATGCTGTGTCGTTGCTGTGACTTCTGTTGCTGCGCTTGTTGAGGCGTAGGATGGCGGTACTCATATGTGTATTGGAGGACGATGTTGCTTTCCTGAGTTTGTGAGCTCACATGCATAGCTTAGGGGCGTGTATTGGGCTGAGACTCACTGCATCAGTGCACTTAAAAGCACCGACGAAAATGCGCGAGTCGGTGGTGGTGACGCGGAGGTTCTTGTTGAGCAGGGACTCGAGGTAGCTGACGGCTTCCTGTTTGTCTTGGAAGGGTGAGGTCATTTTGACTTTTAGGTTGATGTCTTGATGGGTTGATGTGTGAGTGTGACTATATGGAATTGAGGTTGGCTAGCGATGGTTTAAATGAAGAGATGAAGCTGGATGTTTCTAACAGAAAGTAGTCAAGGCTTAACTTTGAACTCAGGTATGTACATATGCTGAGGTACTTGAGAGAGCGTTTGATGGAGGGGCATGTCCACTTCTCTACATATGTAAGTATCGGGTCAGATAATGCATAAATCAAAAGGCTAAGTGGGGCTCGGGGAATAATAGCCAATAGGAGCCAGGCTGGCCAGGCAGCGAGACCACATGCATCTAGTGTAAGTTATGTCATCGCTCTTTCCTCTTTCTTCTTCAACTCATCCCAACTCTTCTCAATTCTCGACTGAGAATTTGAATATGCCCATTTCTGAAGGCCATTTCTAGGGGTTCATTCCGGGACCTTGTTCCTGAATATTGATCACTCACTCATTCGATGGGGCAACGTCAATGAGGGTTCACCCCGACGAGCTCCGACCCTGACGTTGAGCTCAGCCCGGACTCTCTTATCTAAAACTCCTCATCTCCATAACACTCCCCAATTCATAGTAATTCCCATAATCCCGCCATGGGCGTCCAAGGCCTCTGGACGATAGCCTCCCCCTGCGCCCGCCCCACCAACCTCTCCACCCTCAACCGCAAGCGCCTCGCCATCGACGCCTCCATCTGGATCTACCAGTTCCTCAAAGCGGTCCGCGACAAAGAAGGCCACGCCCTGCGCAACAGCCACGTAGTCGGCTTTTTTCGGAGGATCTGCAAACTGCTCTGGTATGGCGTGCAGCCCGTGTTTGTGTTTGATGGCGGGGCGCCGGCGTTGAAGAGGGCGACGCTGTTGGGGAGGAGGAGGAGACGCGAGGGACGGAGGGAGGATGCGGCGAGGACGGCGGGACGGTTGTTGGCTGTGCAGATGCAGCGGATGGCGGAGGTTGAGGGGGAGAGGAGGAGGAAGAGGGCCGCTGCTGTGGAGGATGGGACTGCTGCGGCAGCAGAAGAAGACGAAGTAATCCCCAACATGGACGAAATCGTCTACGCCGACGAACTCGGCATGACACCCCAAGAACGCCAACGCACGCGACACTTCCGCAAACAAGACGCCTACCACCTGCCCGACCTGCAAGGGTCCATCGACGGCATGGGCAAGCCCAACGACCCGCGCATTATGAGCATCGAGGAACTTGAGGCTTATGCGCAGCAGTTCCACTCCGGCGAGGATACCATCAATCTCTATGACTTTAGCAAGATTGATTTCGACGGGGACTTTTTTCGGAGTCTGCCGCCTGCCGATAGGTATAACATCCTCAATGCGGCGCGGCTGCGCAGTCGGCTGCGTATGGGGTTGAGTAAAGATCAGTTGGACACCATGTTCCCGGACCGGATGGCGTTCTCACGGTTTCAGATTGAGAGGGTGCGGGAACGGAATCATTTGACGCAGCGGTTGATGGCGGAGATGGGGATGACGGGGCTGGATTTGACGCTGGGCGGTGCGAGCCGGGTGGCGGGGGATCGGAACCGGGAGTATATTTTGGTGAAGAATGAGGGGGCTGAGGGGGGATGGGCGCTGGGGGTGGTGAGTCGGGATAAGGAACGGGGGATGGTGCATAAGCCGATTGATGTGGATGCGTTGGAGTTTCGGTATCAGGGGAAGGATGAGGAGGAAGAGGAGGAGGATGTGGAGTTTGAGGATGTGCCGATTGAGGGGGTGAATCGGCTGCCGAGGCCGAAAGAGACGGAGGAGTCGTTGTTTGTGGATAACGGGGGGGCGGACTTGTTTTATGATGAGTTTGAGGACGAGGAGGAGCAGCTTAGCCGGGCTATTGCCATGTCTCTTGAGAAGCAGCACGGTGCCCAAGATGGGGACAACCAGGACGAGAACGACAGACCGGATGAAGACGCCCCCCAATGGGAACAGAAAGCAGTCGAAGCCCCTCGGCCAATCGTGAGCGCCAGCGGCCGGATGGTGGCGCATATCGTCAACAACCGAGCGAGCGCTGCGGTGCCGCGGCGTCGGAGCGAGAGCCGGGATCGGGATATGGATGGGAATAACGGTGATAGTGATAGCGACGTTGATCTCCAGGCCGCGCTGGCCGCCGCAAGGAAGAAGCAGCCCAAGGTGCAGCCGGCCAAACCCCAGACACTAGCAGTCGCGGGACCTAGCAAAGCAAGCACGAACCCGTTCGAGGGGTTTGGGGGTCCGCTGCCGTTTGAGAAACTCGACTGGAAGAGTGCGTTTGGCGGGCGGCTGTCACGGCCTGAGCCGGTATCTGCATCGTCAAAGCCTCAGCCTCAGCCTCAGCCTCAGCCTCAGCCTCAGCCCCAGCTAAACCCTCAAAAAGTAGAATCAGCCGACCTCGAAGCAGAATCCGACGATGAAGCCGGCGGATTTGAGAAAGAAACCGAACCACCCGAGACGAGCGTGCAGGCCGGAAATAATACACCACGCCCGCTACCCCCTTGGTTGACGGATGACACGGATATTCGGGAGTCGGTGAGGAAGCAGCAGGAGCTAGAAGTGCAGATGAATGAGGAGGACGAAGATGTGGGTGTTGATGGGTTGCAGTTTGGCGGGGAGGATGTCATTGAGATTGAGTCGTCGAGTGAGGGGGGTGAGAGTGATGTTGAGATTCTTGATGCGCCGCCTTTGAGGGAGCAGGAGAAGCAGCTGGGTCTGGGGCAAGGGCTGGGTGTGATGCCTGGGGCGAGTTTGCCAGTGGAAGACGGGGGGTCTGCGATGGTTGAGCAGGAGTCAGCGCCAGAGCCGGAGCCGGAAGCGGAAGCTGTTGAGTCCGATGAGGACATGGAGTTTGAGGATGTGCTGCCTGAGCCTGCATCTGAGCCTGAGCCCCAGCCTGCACCCACAAACGACGCCCTCGAAGCCGAGCTATTCGGTGAAGAAGCCGCGCAGACCGAAATGGAAGAAGGGATACCCGCCCCCGCTCCCGAAGAGTTCGACCTCAGTGACCCCGAAGAAGAGGAACTTCTCGCACAACTAGCCGAGGAAGCCGAAGAGCACGCGCGGTTTGCCAGCCAGCTCAACCACAAGCCGCAACTCGAGAACCAAGAAGCTTACGAGCGCGAACTGCGCGCCCTCCGCAGCCAACAAAAAAAAGACCGCCGCGACGCCGACGAGGTCACGCAGACCATGGTCAGCGAGTGCCAGGCCCTGCTCACCCTCTTCGGCATCCCCTACATCACGGCCCCCATGGAAGCCGAGGCCCAGTGCGCCGAGCTCGTCCGCTTGGGTTTGGTCGATGGCATCGTCACCGACGACTCGGATACTTTTCTGTTTGGCGGTACGCGTGTTTACAAGAATATGTTTAATAGCAATAAGTATGTCGAGTGCTACCTCGCGCGGGATCTTGAGACGGAACTCGCCCTCCCGCGTGAGCAGCTCATCGCTCTTGCTCAGCTACTTGGGTCGGACTACACCGAGGGACTCCCGGGTGTCGGGCCCGTCACCGCCCTCGAAATCCTCTCCGAGTTCCCCGACGACAGCCTAACCGCCTTCCGCGACTGGTGGCAAACCCTCCAACAACACCCCACCCAACTCAACAACCCCCCCAACGATCCCTCCAACACCCCCTTCCGCCGAAAATTCCGCCGCTCCCACATCACCAAACTCTTCCTCCCCCCTGGCTTCCCCAGCCCCGCCGTAACCGAAGCATACCTAAATCCCATAGTCGACACCGACCCGCAGCCCTTCCAATGGGGCGTCCCCGACCTCGACGGTCTCCGCCGTTTTCTTATGACCACCGTCGGGTGGAGCCAGGAACACACAGATGAGGTTTTGGTGCCGGTGATTAGAGATGTGAATAGGCGCGGGGTGGAGGGGACGCAGAGTAATATTACGAGGTTTTTTACGGGGGGGGTGGGGGTGGGTGCGAGAGACTCTGGAGAAACAGGTGAAGGGGAAAGGGACGTGTTTGCGCCGAGGCAGAGGAAAGCGGGAAGTAAGAGGATGGTGGAGGCTGTGGGGAGGTTGAGGGCGAGGGGGGGTCGTCCCAGGAACGGGTTGAGAGAAGAGATGGAGATGCCGGTTGCTGTGCCGCCGGGGCCGAAGAGGAAGAGGAAGGCTGGGCGGGGTGAGAAAGCTGAGGATGGTGAGGATGAAGGGGATGGTGAGAATGAGGAAGAAGAAGAGGAAGTAGTGGTTTCGAGGAATAAAGGAACCGGAGCGAGGAGGGGGAAAGGGAAGAAGGCAAAGGCATAGCTAGCCTAGCTCCGTATTCTATCCGATATTGGATGTAGTATAATACTGATCTGGCTCATGAGTCACTGGGTTAATCCTTTGTTCCTCGAGGTATCGTGTGACTGGTATTGTGCTCCATTTCTATGTTGTATATGCAGTATGTGCAGTGTGTTCAGCTATTTGGGTATTGCTCTGCTAGGCTTTCGAGATTTTAATGATAAGATGGAATGTAACTTGGTGGGTAGGTATTTAAACCTGCCAGTTCTAGGTGGTTCTTTTGCTTTTACTTCTTTTCCTCCTCTTCCTCATCAGGCTACTCCTGCTCTTCTTCCTACCTCACTACCTTCGTACCTTACTTCTCCTCCTCCACTTACCACCTAACCATTCTTGCGTTTCTTACTCCTCTAACCACCTCACCATCTTTACATTCTCCGGTGGTAGCTGACCTACGATTCTCACCGGCCCTTCTTGCTAGCTGTATTTGCGATTAGATCCCCATACAATTCTGCAATTAACATATCACTTACATTAACATCAAGATCAACATCAACATCAGGATCAACATCAATATCAACGCACTACCACCGACCGACACAGACCGACAAACGCCATGAAACCCAACATCAACCTCACCCTCCTCACCACCGCCCTACTAGCCCTCACAGGCACAGCAAACGCCGCAGTCCTCCCCCGGCATGAACACGGTCACAGATACGGACACAGACATAAACACCCCTTAGCAACAAGGGGTAATATCGTTGCAGATGAACCCATCAAGAATCCGACTGTCGGCCATGGGACTGTTGGGAACGGCAGAGCTGGGTTGTACCGCGGCGTTTCGGGGGTAAAGCAGGACGAGGAGCAGGGGGGAAAGTGTGATTCTGAGGGGATTTTGGGGGGGTCGGTGAGTTCTTTTTTTACCTTTGTTTCCTCCCTTTTTGTTCTCTTGATTTGGATGGCCACGTTGGTTGGTAATCCATAGGGTTGGTACGCTACGGTATGAGCGTGATAACCAAAGCTAACCAACCAAACCAGCTCTCCATCCATTTCCAAGGCCCGATTCACATCCACCAAGTCGCGGTGTACAAGCTTTCTGGGCCCAACACTGGCAACAACACGGCGGATTCCGGAACAAACCCCGAAAAACGGGCCACAGGGCAAATCCAGAAACGCGCTCCGGGAATCGATCATGAGTATCGTAGCATCTCACCGATGGGACATTACTATAACCCGATTCCGAAGGCGTACACCTCGGGGGGCCCAGAATCCACGGTCTCACCTACAGCCCCAGCTACGGTTCCAAGTACAGTCCCAGCTACAGTTGTAGCTACAGTCCCATCAGTGTCTGCACCTGCTGTACAGCCCGATACAGCCCATACTCAGCCCTGGATCCCGCCCATCTTTGGTCACCATACCCACACACGCACCAGCGCGCCGTATTCTAACCTGCCGACAGGAGTAGGATCGGTACCTGGGTCATGGCGGCCCGAGGTGTGGAAACGGCCGGGTTCTCACGATTCTCTTGACTCGACTTCGACTTCGACCTCAGACTCGGACACGACGACAACGGCAACAGTCACGACCACATTCACAACTACCAATATAGCAATAGCTATGACGACCACAGCGCTGCCGAGCTCAAGTTCAGAGGACTCGACAGTGTTTATGACGACGACTGTGACGACCGTTGTGGCGACTGTGCGGCCGAGCACATCGTTTAGCGTGACAACATACACAACAGACACCCCTAACGTTATCACATACCCCACGGCAAACCCCACCCCCAAAACCACAGGCTGCTCCGGCCCAATAACAACAACAACACCTCGGTTCTTCAAGCCCAAGTCCAAGCCCAGCAGCACGTCGTCGTCGTCGTCGTCGTCGAGCAACAACACACCCGGCCACAACGTCAACAGCCCCCCGGCCAACACGCACAAGTCCAACGGCCAGCTGGTCCGCACGGGGTACTACAACGCGGCGCGGCAGCGGAACGAGGGCGTGGTGTTTGTGGGTGTTGGTGGAGCCCGGGGGACTGGATCGCAGACGTAAGTACCCCTGGATTCTACATAAAATTACGGGGGACACATACTAAGATGATGATATTTTGTAGGACCGTCAACAAACCAACACCGACCATAAACTTTCCGGATGCGATGCTTGGATCTGAGGAGGGGGTGGTGGTGTTGAGTGATCGAGTGTGTGAGACGTGTGGGGAGGGTGTGAATGGTATGTATTGTTTTGTGTTTCGGTGGTGTTTACTTGCCCCTTTTGATCCTGTTATCCTTCTACTTGCCCTTACTGAATATTACCCCACCCACTCTTCCCACTACTTGACACCTCCTTACTATTGCCGGAATTTATACCTATGGTCGGGTTAACTAACAAACTCACAGACGGCTTCACCAGCCCGTCCCATAACCTGCTCTTACTCCTCGAGTTTTCCATCCCGCAGGACACCCCGAGTCAGCAAACCAACACCACAGCGGATAACGGCCCTAGCATCGACCTGGTGGGTACCAAGAACTTGTACACCGGGCTGGGTATGTCCCCTTTTTTCTATTCCCCCTTTTTTCTATTCCCCCCTTTTTCCTCCTTCATTTCTATTCTTCACCCCAGTTTACTGACCAACTTGTTAACACCAGACTGCGGAATCCCCATCTTCAACACAAGCACACCCGTCGATAAGGCACATGCGCTTATTCAGCCGGATACAAGCAAGCCGGTGCGGTTGGCGGTGGTGGTGGATGGGGAAAAGGGTACGGCGGATGTTGTTCCGCTGGGGAAGGGGGGTGACTTTCCGGAGACTTTGAGGGGGTTTTCTTAGGTTTTTAATTTTTTTCTTTTTGAGTGAGAGGTGATTCCTAGGGGGCTTTGAAGGGGGTTCTGAGGGGGTTCTTGGTGAGAGCAAGCGAGGTGGATAAAACATGAGCAAGGGAGGGACAGAGTTGGGTAGATAATCGGTCATTGAAGTTAGTAGATGAAGATGCGTTGATTTACGGGAGTGAAAAAAAAAACAGCGAGAATGACTGTGAAGTAAAAGTAAAGTAAATTATAGCTATTAGGGCAACTCCTGATCCCCTATCGGCTCATACTCCTCCGGCGCATCAGCCAGCCACCTCATGGTATGAGCATCCGGATCAGCGGGAGTCGTCAACGACCCAAGGTCCCGATATCTCTCCCTAGCATGCTCATCATACCAATCCCCGTCATACGAATAAGCCCCATCATAGTCCTCCTCGCGAAACTCCTCCTCATCCTTCTCCACCTTCCCCCGATAGACAAACTCCTCGTCCACAGCCTTCCACTTCCCCTTAATATCCCTCTCATGCGCCTCAAAACTCTCTAAATCCCCATACTCCCTATACTTCCCCTCCTCATCATCATAGTCATCATACCCGTACTCACTCCCATACCCGTACTCACTCCCATACCCATACTCACTCCCCTCCTCCCTCCTAACCCCCAAAACAACCGGATACCAAAACCTCTCATCTTCCCCCTCCCCCCCAAGTAATTTAGACTCAACAAACAACCCCTCCGCAAACAACCCCAAATCAAACAAAAACCCCACCACATCATATGGAGTTTCACCCCTCTCCGTCTCCTCCAACCGCTTCACAACCCCCCAAAACTGGCCCCTCGACGCCTGCCCAGCAAACCGAAACACCCCCAGACAAATCCCCACCCACGTCCCGATCCAGGCCGGCGAGACGGTGCCTGTGGCTTCGCGGAATTCCACCGTTTTCGTCCTCTCCTCCCTGGGGTGCGCACCAGTATTAATCCAGCTCCAAGCCCCATTCCCAGTCCCAGTCCCGGTCCCAGTCCCCGTCCCCGTCCCAGTCCCAGCACCACTCTCCGTCCCACTCCCAGCATACGGACTCCTCCCCAAGAAGTGGGTAAGGTTGTAGTTAGCCCGGGTGTAGAAACCCCAGCCGCTGGGAGCAGCGAAGAGTTGGGCGACTTCAGCAGGGTTGGAACAGGCTAGGATATGGTGTGTGCCTGAGACGGGCGTGATGTGTTTTTGGAGGAGAGAGGGGTCTGGGTGGATGTGGTTGAAGGTTGGGGCTGGCGGGGAGAGATAGAAGGGGTGCGTTGTGTGCCTGGTGAGGGCGCGGGGGGAGTGGATTATTATTGGGCGGTGGGGGGGGAGGTATTTATTGTTACCACTCTGGTTGTAGGAGGGGTTGAGAGTTGGGACCGGGTTGGAGGAGGAGGAGGAGGATAACCGGGGGAAGGTGGACGACGGTAAAGAGGTACGCTGTCCATACTCCATGGACACACGGCTCAGGTCACGAAGCGGCATCTCCCGCTCGAGGATCTTCTCCTGGCCCGAGGCTTCGTCTTTCCCACGGACTTGGGCCACACGCAGGCCGTGGGCGAGACGGGAGGTCAGACCGATGGGGGGGCAATACCCGGCTAGAGGGCGCTCGGGGGGGTGGATGTGGGCGAGGAACCCGTCGGCGGCCCAGAGCAGGGCGGTGGCGCGTTTGAAGAGGCTGAAGTCGAATTCGGGCTTTTTGTTTTGGGACGACGACCCTTCGGCTTGGTGTTGGTTGGGAGTAGAACCGGGACCAAGACCAGACCCAGGCCCGACGTGGACGTGAAACCCCGTACTGAGATTCACACGCAACCGAAACCGGGTCACCAGCTCGGTCACTACCCGCCGGATGTGCTCGTGTGCGGCTGGGCAGTCGTACAACGCCGGGCTGGTGACCTCAAACCCGAGACCATGATACCTTTCCCCCTGGCTCCCACGGATCGCAACAGTGTGATCCCCAACAGACCCGTCGGTTTTGACCACCCACTCGCTCGCGCCAGGGACATACCCGCCGTTGGGGTCGTCCGGGCCCGGGTAGACGTACATGTCTTTTAACTCCTGCGGGATGTTGTCATTGTTGTTGCTATTACGCTCACCAGGGGGTGGAGGTTCAAGATCATCGACTCGCGCGCCGGGCACGCTAGCAATAGCTGCACGAATTAAATCAGCAGCCCAGCCGCGCGGGGTCGGGGAGTCGTCGGTGGGGTTGTTCTCGTCGGTGTCGTCGTCGTATTCGTTGGCGGTGTAGAGGTAGTTGGCGTATTTTTCGGGGTTGTCGTCGCTGTTGCTGTCGCTGTTGCCCTCGCCGTTGGGATCGTCGTAGTCATTGTTTAGATTGGATTCATAGTGGAAATGCCGCGGCAGGACGGGGATGGGGTGTGGGTGTCGCGCTTCTTGGTCCGGCCGGAGGTGGTATTGGACCGTGTTGTGCCGGAGGGTTTTGAGGACGTGGCGGCCGTGGGGGGGGAGTTGGAAGTAGAAGAGGAATTCGAGTTCGATGCCGAAGGAGAGCATGCTGACTGATGTTTAAGGGTAATTAGAATAGAAGATTAAGGATGGAGTAGAATAGAATGATAAGGGTAACTGGGTCTCGTTGCTACTGTATGTCAGGGTGAATACAAGATCAGGGATGAGACATCACACGCGGGACTCGATCGCTCGATTATATAGACTCGATTAATCGACTGAACAACCCCTTTGTCAAGATGCTCCTAGTCTTCGAGTCAACAAGGCGCTTTGAACGACGGGCTTTGACAGCACTTGAGAGCACTTTGAACAACGCTGCGTTGAACAATGCTTGTATGTATTGTCTATGTAATTACGCATTAGTATTATTCGCACCCGGAGAAAAATACAAACAAAAATAACCAAAGAATAACTCAGATTAGCAGGACATACCTATCTGCCAAGCATTACTTCCAATACCATTCCAATATCATTCCAACATCTCCATCAAATCATCAAATCATCTACCCAAGGTCTCCATCCAATATCTCTATCCGACACCGTGACTGTAAACCCGTACAGAAACCTATAAATCCAAAACAGACCCCCCCCACTCCCCCACAGGCGTAATCAACTCCTCATCCCGATCCGACTCCACCTCCTCCTTATCCCTCCTCCCTTCCGCCGTCCCCTTTCTTGCTCCGATCTTCCACCCCCCCTTCCTCCTCCCCAACGACGCCGACCTCACCGTCCCGGGCATCGTCCCCGGAATCCCCCCCGGAATCGCCGGAACAGGCGGTACATCCACCCCCGGCACCCCCCCAAACCCACTCCCCACCCCTCCAGCATAACCAGTAGACGGAATAGGATTAACAAACCCATAACCAACCGCATGCGGACACGGCCCCTCCCCGACCGCCGCCCGATGACTGTGAAACGTACACTGCCGAAAACCAAACAGTCGTTCCCCGCTTCGGAGTCCGTTGGCAGGCAGCCGCAGTTGGGGGTTCTTGACTGCGACGTCGGCTCGGCTTTGGGCCATTTTTTGCAGGTGGAGGCGGTAATCTGCGCGGAGGAGGGGGTACTGCGTGAAGAGGCGTTCTGCGTCTGGACCGGGGCCTAACACAGGCCCTCCGGAGGGGGTTGGGAGTGAGGTTGGAGGTGGGGGTTTGGTGGGGGAGGTTGTTGACGTTGAAGTGGTGGATGGTAAAGGAGCAGACGCCGGTGTAGTCGGACTAGGCAAGGACCCAGGAGCAGCCCCGTGGAGAGTCCAAGCCAACATAGCGACCGCCCACTTGCGCAATCGAACAGCCGCGTGCTGGGCTTCGCAGTCGCCGTACAGAAACGCCAGGAACCGCGGGGACATGGACCAGTCGAAGCGGAGGTAGAGGTCTTGCAGGGCGTCCATGGCGGCGTCTTGGGCTGCGGGCAGGTCGATGATGGCTGCGAAGAGGTGCAGGCGGACGAGGTTGGTGCGGAGGGTGCGGAATTGTTCGATCTGGGGGTTGGTGGGTGATGGTGTTGAGGTTGAGGTCGTTGATGCTGTGGTCGGGGATGGGATGTGGCTAGGCAGGGCGTGGGTGAGGAAGGCGGGGAACCGTCGACGTTGGTATAGCCAGAGGACGAAGATCTCGAACATGTCCGGTCCTTCGTTTGGGAGCCAGAGGACGGAGTCATCGTCGTCGTCGTCGTCCCCTCTTGGGCTTGTGGTGGATCGGATTGGGATGCTCTCGAGGTGGCCGCGGAAGAAGGCGCAGCTGTCGCTGAGGAGTGCTCGGTGGATGGTGAACTCGCGCTGTTCGTCGCCGACTAGCACCCGCACCACGTCGCCCTCGAGGCTGACAGGCACAATTAGTATCTCGTACTGAGGCTGGGGATGAGACTCGGGACACTCACGAGCCGACCACTGCCTTGCTTGTGCTCCACCTCATCCTGACTTGTAACTATGCTCCCAATCTCAACCGAGTACAGCGAAGATAATCTCGAGATTTATGGTGTTGTGGCAATAAATTAATTCCCAATAACTCTCAGAGAGAAACACCACAGAAACATCCGAGTAAAAAAAAAGAAAAAAAAGCTCAGACACCGTCCCGTCCAAACCAACCTTGAAAACTCTCAAACTCAGTCCACCTGACACGACACACTCATATCTACCATCCCCCTCCTTGCCTCACGCCATCGTCCCATCTCAAAACCACCTCACATTCGCCCCTTACCCCCAAATCCACACCCCGGCATCCTTGGATTGTCTCAGGGCTGCCGCTGCGCTCCGTCCCGGTTGCGGTCCTAATGGGGCTGCACACCAACTACTATGTAGGTAACAACCAGAATTGTTACGGTTCGTTTATGGTGGCTTGTTTAAGCTGCAGCACTGCAGTCTAGCTGCGACGCAACCGTCTGTTTCTATTCCTGCGGCCGGTTCGAGCCCCTGCGTTTCGTTTCGAGCCCTGGAGGGGTGTGGTCAGGGTGGTCAGGAGCCAGCCCCTCGGGAGTAGCTTACCGTGAAAAGCTAGAGGGGTCCGGGCTTGGTGGTTGGATTGAGCTCAGTTCTTCTTTTACACCCAGCAATTGAGTCCCCCCTTTGTTCGGTCTTGGTAGTTCTTGGCGTCCCCTGCCCGATCTTGGGTGCCATTTTGGGCCATTTTGGGCCATTTTGGAGTCGTAGTGGACCCTGGTTTGTTCCCGGCTTTGTTTCGAGTTGTGGGAGAATGAAACGAAACGCGGGGTTGAGTATCTGGTTAGAGGAAGGGTGGATGGAAATTGATGGTGATGGAAACGAATTGAGAAACGGAGGGAAAATGATGAAATGGGGATCAGTTAGTCTCGATTAGCGGAACATAGATAGATAGGAGGTCTTGACAATTGTTCTTTGTGGGCTTCTGGTCAATGGGGCCGGCTTTCGCTGACAAAGGCGATGGACAAACAGGTTTCAGTCTTTGACGACTACCATGTCTCTCGTCTTCTGCCACTTGCCCAATCCCATTCCGTTGCTCGTACAACCCCATCGACAATTATTTGTCAGTCAGGCTGCGCCCGATTCATAGCAGTGGAACCTCAACGGGAAAACATACACACTCTCCGAGACACGAGTCAACCCCCCTTCGACGATTCAGGGCATTCCGTAGATTCTCTGTACGGCTGCACACGTTCACTGCATCAACGCTTACTGACTCTGTACCACTGCACATGAACATTACATAGTACATCACCGGCGACGTGTCTAAATGGACGGTGCAGCCTGTCTATTGTGACGGTGTAAACCTCAACACGGCTAGAGACAAGTCGATCATCTCTACACCAATTCTTGGCTGCAACCTTGATCCAAGTACCTCTTCTTCTCCTCTCCATGTACCTGAGCAACATACATCACAACGTATAAACGAAGACATCGATTCAACGTGATTCCCAACATCATAACCGTAAGTGCTGCAAGTGCGATGCGTCGGGCTAAATTGCCTAAAGGTATAGTAAAATTCGATCGTAATAGGGCTTCAATAAAACACATGACTCCCAGCATCGCGATCGTGAATCAATGCGTTGGCGTGAAACGTTGAATAATTGGGTAGGTAGGTACATGAAGAGGAGAAGAAGAGGAGAAGAAGAGGGACTTGGATCGAGGTTGAAGCCAAGAGTTGGTATAGAGGTCTCTAGCCGTATTAAGATTTGCACCAGTCACAATAGACAGGCTGCACCGTTCATTTAGACACGTCGATCACCGGCGAGATATCATTCTGTCGCAAGGCTCCGTCCTATCGTCCCAGGCCGGGGAGCTCCTGCCCGGGTTTTGGCCGGAGAGTTTGCGGAAAATTCTGAGACAAGGCTTGACAAGGCATGGGCCGTGCGCATGCGGGTTAGCGATGCGGATGTGCCGAACACCGAGCAAAGCGGGGGGTGTTCCAGGCCGAGGGTTAGGGTTAGACTTGGCCGAGAGACGCCGAATTACTCAGCTGTCTCACAACTGTCCCACAAACTGTCCGCAAGTGCCCCGCAAATGCCCCGCAGGGATACATTTTCTCCCGAAGAATTGCGCCATTCAGAAGTTTGTTGCGATCCACAAGAGGCAACTCCGCACGGGATATCGTTAACCCCGCGCTGGCCCGCAGCGAGCAGCAACCTCGACGACAACGCCGGCTTATTCATCTTGGTGAGAGATGGTTACGAAAGATTCCGTCGGAGTTCTAGAAGGAGATTTCTCGGGGATGGATAGGGGGTGAGGGGAGTATATATTCTGGCTAGACCTCGATTGTTTGAGGACGGAAATTGTGACATTGACTCGCAACCAGTTCTTCAACTTCCTCTTATCGCGTGCTACGTTAACGTTACCCCTCACTACTCTTACCACTTACACTAGTTACCGTGTTCCCAACTTCACCTTGACTTGACAACCCAATCTTGCTCTCCAACCTGACCAGCTAAACCACCAAAATGACCCTCAAAAAGCTCACCGCCAGCACCCCGGCCTCGGGCGTGCCCTTCTACACACCCGCCCAAACCCCCCCAGCCGGCACCGTCCTCCCGTCCACCGACGGCACCACCCAAGCCATCCCCACGCTCTTCACCCCCATCACCCTGCGGGACCTCACCCTCCAAAACCGCATCACCGTCTCCCCGATGTGCACTTACTCCGCGGACGACGGCCACCTCACCGACTGGCACCTGGTCCACCTGGGCGCCTTCGCCCAACGCGGCGCCAGCCTCACCATCGTCGAAGCCACAGCCGTGACCCCCAACGGCCGCATCTCCCCCGAAGACAGCGGCCTCTGGCAGGACAGCCAGATCGCGCCCCTGAAGCGCATCGCGGATTATATCCATTCCCAGGGCCAGAAGATTGGGATCCAACTGGCCCATGCGGGTAGGAAGGCGAGCACCCTCGGGCCGTGGCATGCGGTGCCGGGGAAGTCGGAGGTGGCCGGGGAGGACGTGGGCGGGTGGCCGGGGAACTTGTGGGGGCCGAGTGCGGTGGAATGGAACGAGGGGTATCCGACGCCGAAGGAGATGACGGTGGGGGAGATTGAGGGGTTGGTGGAGAGTTTTGTGGAGGCGGCGAAACGCGCGGTGAAGGCGGGCGTGGATGTTATCGAGATTCATGGCGCGCATGGTTATTTGATTAGCGAGTTTTTGTCGCCTATTACTAACGTGAGTTCCCTTCTTGTCTTCCCATTACAATCCCGGTGGGGAGAGATATAGAGATATATAGAGATATACATACTAACTAACAAAACTAGCAACGCACCGACGACTACGGCGGCTCCTTCACCAACCGCACACGCCTCCTCACCAACACCATCCGCGCCATCCGCGCCGTCATCCCCTCCGGCATGCCCCTCTTCGTGCGCATCTCCGCAACCGAATGGATGGAACACTCCAACCAACCCTCCTGGGACCTGGAGCAAAGCAAACAACTCGCCCTTCTCCTCCCGGACCTCGGCGTCGACCTCCTCGACGTCTCTTCCGGCGGCAACAACCCGGCCCAGCAGATCCGTCCGCACACTTACTACCAAATCGACCTGGCCGATGCTATTCGGCAGGCGGTGAAGGCCGCGGGGAAGACGTTGGCTATTGGGGCGGTGGGGATGATTAGTACCGCGGAGGTGGCGCGGAATGTCGTGCAGGAGGGTGGCGCCTCGGAAAATGGGACGGCCGGGAAGGCTAATACGGATGGGACGGTGGTGGTGGAGAAGGAGGATGGGAGCAGGGCCAAGGCGGATTTGGTGTTGGTGGCCAGGCAGTTTTTGAGGGAGCCCGAGTTTGTGCTGAAGACGGCGACGTTGTTGGGGGTGCCGGTGCAGGGGCCGATTCAGTACCATCGCGCGCCGTTGAAGCGGGAGAGACTTTAGATGTAGAGGGAGAGGAGGTATATAGAGTAGAGGTGGTGTTGGTGGTAGACAGTGGGGTTCTTTATAGACAGACAGACGACAGACAGACGACAGACAGCGTATATTACCGTTATTTCGTAACATATCCTGAAATTTACCTCACACTCCAGTACTGCGACAACCTAAATAAACCCCCAAACCATCTCCCGTCCTAACTCCCCCATCTCACTTCCTTTACTCCTCACTGCCGTTCACTTCGTTCCCTCTCACGCCTCGCAACCTCGCTCTCCACCAACGCCCGCACCAGCTGCAGCAGCACCTCCCGGCCGACAGCAATACTATGCTCGGACGCGTCGCTCGGCACGTGCAAAAACACCACCCGGCGGCGCTCGCCGGCTTTCTCGAGGTGGGCAAGACTGGAGAAGTAGATGAAGTCGCAGAGGTAGTGGCCGGCGTCTTCGGATACGCGGAGGTCGAGGTGTTTCTTTTATTGTTCGTGAGTAAATGGAATGAATGACTGAGAACCCAGGGAAAAGGGGAAAAGGGGAAAAGGGGAAAGGGGGGAAAGGGGGGAAAGGGGTATAAAGCTGGGGTTACTCCATAGTGAAAGTAAAAGAGAAAACTCACAGGCGAATGCCCCTTCCACCTCCCCAAAACATCCCCCACATCCACCGCCGTCTCCAACTCCTCCGGCATCCCCTCCCAAATCCACTTGCCCTTTTCTCCCTTTTCTCCCTTTTCTCCCTTTTCTCCCTCCTTTCCCCCTTCCCCCTTTTTCTCAACCCCTTCCCCCTGATCCCCCTCTTCATCCCCATGCCCATCCTGATAACCCCCATCATCCCCCAAAACCCCCCCATCAACATCCGGCATCCGATACCCCTCCCTATGCCCGCGCCTCTCAAGACTATAAAACAACCTCGGCCCCGCCATCCCCACATGCACCGCCAAATCAATTTTCGGTCTGCTATCCCCGTGCACTTTGCCATCCAAGTCCCAGAGATCCGGGATGAGGGCGCGTACGGTTTGGTAAGAGACCCGGATTGGGGCGGGGTGGGTTAGGAGGCGGACGGGGGGGATTGGACTCGCCGAGGGGTTTAGGGGGGAAGTGGTTGAGGTGGTTGAGGGGGGGAAGGGGGATGAGGGAGTTGGGAGGGGGACTTTGGCGCGGAGGGGGGGGAGGAAGGTCGGGAGGGACCGGACGATTTCCCAGGAGGGGTTGACGGGGTAGTCTTTTTTGAAGGGCTGGGGGGGTTAGTGTTATGTCCTGTCGTGATGATGAGGATGACGATGGGGATGAGGATAGATCATGAGAAGAGGCCGGGTGTGGGTTTAGTTAGGGACGGAGAGAAGCAGAAGAAACTCACGGCAAATCCGGTCAAGAGCACCGTAAACGGCTCTTGCTCGTGGTCGGCGACGGATCCCATGGTGGATTTAGCTGGGGTTGTGAATGGGATTTGAGTTGTGATAGCGATTCGAATGCGATTAGACCGGAAAGTGGTGGAATATGGAAATTACAAACCACCCGCAATAAGTCTTTGACCAGCTCAAGACGTGGACTCCGAGTTGAGACCCGAGTGGATAAGGTATCAACCCTCTGTCGTCCTGAGCACCTGGGCAGCTAGGTCACTTGAGGTCACTATTGCGTGGAGGGGCAATGCGGGGACGTCACTCACTAGATGCACTAACACAGCTGCTTGCAGCACTCGCGTGACCTTATTGGCCCCTCTTCAGTTTCTCTCCAAGATTCATCCCGTCTTTTTGAACTGACTTAACCAACCTGGAAACCAACAAATTACGGATCCATATGCCCGCATTCGGTCAAGCCCAACTCCAATTGAAGTTCACAGCTCCCAACAGTTCCAACTTTCTACAGTTGGGGCCCGATATGCACGCAGCCCCGCCAAGGGAAATCTATAAGTGATGTCCGTGTCGTCAGCGCTGACGCGGGCCGGGCCGGTATCTGTTGCATCCATCTAGGTACAGTACCTACCTATCTGCGGTTCTACCCGTTTTTTTGCACTCCCCGAGTTCGGGCAGTCCCAAATGGATCCATTGTGTTCCTGTGGGGAGCGCAGTCAGCGCGGTAGTGGATTTAAACTCCGCTGACTATACTTGTACCGTACTGTACGTACATGCCGACATGATAACATTATCCGATTTGCGGACCATCTCTTCGTCCATTGTGCGATCCTGTCTTAAATCCTCCCAAGGGTATCTCCATATCCACCAACCCAAAAACATACAATACACAATCAGTAAACAAAGTACCTACCCCCCATAATCCCTAAACCCCGCCTTCTCCCCGTCCCGATCCAACATATACCCAAACCTCTCCCGATTCTCCAACAAAAACCCCGGCACATCCCCATTCCCCTCCACCCGATCATACACCTCCCCCTTCCGATCCCACAAATCCTTCCCCCTTCTAACATACTCCACAATCCTCCCGGCATCCCTATACCGTTCCTGATTCATACTCGTATGCGAAAAACTCGCCATTTTCCCCAACAATTCCCCCACCGTCGCAAAACAACTCGAGCAATGCCAGCTCGCATTCGCCATCGTGCCCTTTTCCCACTCCCGGAACGGCCACATCCCGCCGTCGGCGATCCGTAGATCGTTCGGTCGTAACGTGTTGTGTAGACCTTGGTAGTATGTCGCTTGTGGATGTGGCCACTCGGGCCCCCGGTGCAGCCACTGGAAGGAGTAGTAATAAAACCGGCTTGCCAGCGTCAGTCGGCGGGGAAAGGCGCACGCGCGCAGGGTGCGCAGCGTCGACGGCCGCGGAATCTCATCCACATCAGAAACAACGAGGACGTCCCCCTTGTTGGGCGCCGCGTCGCCCGTGAGCAGCGGGAAGACCTGGGTGAGCATGCTGTTGCGCTGGAGGTCTTCCATGTCCCAGGGGGTGCGGGGGCGGAAATGGGGCGGGTATTGGATTTCGTGGTAGATCATTTTGGAGTGGTAGGGGGCGAAGAGGGAGTAGTTGTTGAGGAGGGTGAGGGGTTTGGGACGGCTGGTGAAGGTTTGGCGGGACTCGACCAGGATGTAGTAGTCGACTTCGTGCCAGGTGGTGTTGAGGCGGATTTCGAGGTGGTCCAGTTCGGTGTTGATCATCATTAGGTCGTAGACTTTGCGCCGCGGGGGGCGGGCTGAGGAGGAAGACGATGGTCGGTAGGGCTGCCAGCCGTGTGACCGGCAGAGGTTGTTGAGTAATGGGTCGGTGTCGTGGGAGGTGGTCCAGGTGGACGGGGAGAAGGGGTTGAGAGAGCCATCGTCGCGGTGCGCGGTGATGAGGACGAGCCAGACGAGGGCGAAGACGGCGACCGCGCGCGCCCAGCGCCAGAGGTGTCGCGTTCGGCGCGACATGGGGTTAGGGGTTCATGTGAATTTGTTGTTGTCGTTGTCGTCGTTGTCGTCGTTGCGAGGCAGAATCCTACTCTCCCGATCGCAACTTTACGTCACGTCATCTCGAAGAACTGAAAAAAAAAAAAGAAAAAAAGACAAAAGAAAACACCGAAAGCAAGCAAACACCCAAACAAGGTCCAAATCCCTCCAATCCCCAGTACGAAGTAGCCAACCACCAACGCACTTCCGCACTCTCACCCGCGCTCACCCACGCCCCAAAAACACCCGCCCCATTGTTCCAAGTTCCAACATCCCATTTCCCTGTCAGTGCCTGTCAGTGCCTGTTCCACCCCTCGAGCACCCCTTGCCATTCCTTGTCACAGAGCCAGACAACCCAGAAGCCGTGCCCGCAACGGCCGTGGGAACTGCAAACCTGATTGGCTTGGCAGCGTTGTACCCCGTGTGTCACACGCCCGGTGGCCCGTCAGCACCGTCGGCGGCGTCGATCCTTCGACATGGAGACTTGTCGTCAGCTTTGGGCTGGGAATGGTTAGTTGCTAGTTAGCACGCAAGGCACAGTTGGTTACTGCGAGACTGGCTGGTTGTTGTTTGCAGATGGGAAAATAAAAGTCAATTCGTTAAACAGACTGCTGTTGCGGCAATTGGTGTTTTTGTTATTCTGAGCTATGGCTGCGTTATACACGAGATGGGAAAATGGGACGGAAATGGGAAATTGAGGAGCATGGGTATACACAACAGGCAACATTACTAAGAACGTACATTACCGAGCGCTGGGCAGTGGGAATAAGGTTGGTTAAGCATTGTTTCTGCCGAGTTGCCGAGTCTGCCCCTGACAATGGCTTCTCCACTTTTCTAAAGACCAAGGTCTACGTTCGTACGGAGTGTATTTCTCGAGTCATTGAGTGTTTAAACGAAGGTATTATAAATCAACACGGTAAATTAGGAGAAAGACTTGATTAGAGTTTTGATCACTACTGAACTGTTGAATTTTATTGACGTTTGGGCGAGCTGCGGTGAAATGACGGCTGATACCGCTAGAGTTAATCTTTTGGCCAGCGTCCGTCTGCAAGCAACCCTAACCCTCACACACACAACTGCGGGGAGATACCCCACCATTGACTCTAAACCCGACTCTCCCGACAGTTGACAAATGATTCCCAATCCGTGATTCACAATCCGTGAATTTAGAAGTGGTGGCCATAATCTGTTTAAGAGGTGTTTAAAAGTCAATCCGGCCGGCTTCTCTCAAAACAGAACAGTGTCACCACCGAAGTGCCCGACCCCCCGCAGCGAGAAATCGAGACGAGTCAAGCCGAGGTTGTGGACGACTCACTCACTCACTCTCAAAAATCGAGAATACCCTCATCAACCCTCCCGAAACCAACCCAGCAGCCACCATGTTCACCGGAATCGTCGAAGAGATAGGCAGTACGCCCCCCCTCCTGTTCCCAACTCCTCTCCCTTCCTATCTATCTAGCCAGACCAGTAAACTATTAGAAGGGACTAACAAAAAAAACAGCCGTCGCCGAACTCAACCCATCCGACTCAACAGGCGGCACCTCCCTAACCATCCACCTCCCACCCACCTCCACCCTCCTCTCCGACGCCCACCTCGGCGATTCCATCGCCATCAACGGCGTCTGTCTCACCGTCACCTCTTTCCACCACCCCTCCAACCCTTCCCCCAACTCCACCGAGAAAGAGAGTAGTAGTGAAGCGGTACCCTCCTTCACAGTAGGCATAGCCCCCGAAACCCTCCGTCTCACCAACCTGGGCTCTCTCACCACCCTCTCCCGCGTCAACCTCGAACGTGCCGTGCGCGCCGACACCCGTATGGGCGGGCACTTTGTCCAGGGCCATGTAGACACCACTGCGACTATCCTCTCGCGCACGCCGGACGGGAACGCTATTACTTTTCGGTTCGCCCCCACTGCATCACTCTCCTCTGGGGAAGGGGAACAGGGAGGGGAAGGGGGGAAAGGGAACAAAGGGAGGGAGATACTGCGGTATGTGGTATACAAAGGGTTCATTGCGCTGGACGGGGCGAGTTTGACGGTGACGAAAGTGGATGATGAGGAAGGGTGGTGGGAGGTGATGTTGATTGCGTATACGCAGGAGAGGATTGTGACGGCGGCGAAGGAGGTGGGGGAGACGGTCAATGTGGAGGTGGATATGACGGCGAAGTATGTGGAGAAGAGTTTGAGGGGGTATTTGGAGGGGTTGAAGGGGGGTGCTGGGGAGGAGGGGGGGTTGTTGAAGAAGGTTTTGGAGGGGGTTAAGGGGGGGAATTAGAGTGCGGATTAAGTCTGAATTAGAGAGGCTAAAAGGCTGTATTCAAATATGGGTATCTAACAAACAGACTAAAAAGGAAGAGTCTCAACTCATAAATCTCCCCACACCTCAGCCAACTTCAAGCTGACCGCCTTGGAAATCTTCTTCCGCCCGACCAGATGTCCCAGCCGAGCAGCCACCAAATCTGCCTTCCGCCTCTTCACCTCGTTCCCGTCTCCCGACCCGCACTGCTCGTACGCACGCACAAACTCGTTCGGCGTCTTCCACACCCGCTGGATCTCTATCGCCTTCTCCCCCGTCACCCCGCGCGCACACATCAGCATCTTGAGAAACAAGTCCCGCAGCGCCATGTTGCTCGACTTGGACGCCAGTGACGCAAAGGCCGGGTAGCTGATGTAGTGGTTGCTGATGTTACTGATGTTGATGTTGCTGCTACTGTTGTTAGCTCCCGGCGGCTGCTGGGTCGCGCGCAGGTGACCGAGTAGCGGGAGGTAGTTCTTGGCCGTGAGCACGCGCGTGGGGATCACGTTGAGGGTCTTGCTCTCATACAGCGTCCGCAGCATCTTGGTCATGGACGCCAGGTACCGGATCGTGTCGTCTACTTTTTTTGTTTGCTTGACAAAGTAGCCGTTGACGACCTGCATCGAGGCCATGGCCGACTGCACGGCTTCTTCATACTTTTGGAAGTGCGTCGCGTCCATGCTGATCTCTTCTACGAGATACACCACGTTCTGGACGCCGGACCGCTTGAGCCGGAACTTTTGCTCGTGGAACCGCCCATCCCGTAGCGAGCCCACCAGGTCGTCCAGCCGCTTGCGCTCCACGATCCAGTCGAGTACCACTTCGTCACCTTCTGCGCCCTGCCGTGCTAGCCAGCCTGCCTGTCGTGGCCGTGCTACCCACATGGCGTCGCCTAGTTCTAGGGCGCGGGTGATCGGTTTGACGCCCCGCTTGGCTAGCTCTTCCTGGATGTAGTCGCGGTCCGTCGTGGCTCGTATTTCGCGGGTGTCCAGGAGTAGCTCGATGGTGAAGGTCCCGGGACGTAGCTGAATCGGGGTGAACGAGGGCAGTGCTGCATCGTCGAATGTTCCAACCCCGTCCGCGACGACATCACTAAACTCGGTCATCCGTTTCGCTTGGGGGCCGCTATCCCCAACGTCATCTTCATCGCCATCGTCAAGGCTGATCTGCCCTCCTGCTGACCCACCCGGCATAGTAATCGCCTGCGCTAATCGGCTCGGCCCGGCAGCCGCTGCTCCCGTGAACGGTGGTTCTGCCCCTCCAGCACCACCTGCCTGCGGCACAGCCGTTTCCCGAATCCGCTTCGCCACCTCCCACCCTTCGTCCGTCAGTGCGTACCGCTTAAGCGGCCGCCCGCGCTCATACACCAGCTCCTTCTGCAACAACGTCTTCATCGAGTTCCACGCCGTGTAGAACTTGGTGGGATCGCTCGGCGCCGAGAACGACGCGTCGCTGTACGGCTGCGCGGCCTCGATCAGCTCTGCCTTGGGCAGTCCGACCGACTCCTGCCCTGCCCTCGACAGCGCAACCACTAGGGCATACGCCCCGGACCGGTAGGCCGGCACGTAGGCTTTGGGTGGTTTCTTAGCCTTCTTCGCTGGGCGCGCAGCCTCGCCGTCATCTTCGTCCCCATCTCCATCTCCTCCCTCAGCACAAGCCCCAGCCCCACGTTTCCTAGAACGGGGGTGTGCCGGCATAGGCAGGCCATTCTCCTCGTAGTACTCCCGCAGCTTGTCGGTGAGCCGCTCGCAAAGCTTCGGCCCGAAGCCCTTGAGCTGCTGCAGCGCCGATGGGTGCTCGAAGGCGATGGGACAGGCCTTGAGAGAGTCGTAGGCGTGCTTGTACGTGGTGACGCCCTTGGAGTTGCGCTGCCGCGCTGTTTCCCACCACTCCTTGACCCACTCCAAGAGGAGGGGGTTGGCACACCTGTTTTGAGACATTGGAGGTGTACAGCTCAGTGTACTGTACTACGTAGAGAGGTGGCTTGGACCAAAACGGCAAAAAAGGTGGCTGGGGTGGTAGAATAAACAAGATACGCGAGGTCGCAGCGCAGCGGGTCAAAAAAGTCGGGACAAAATTGGAAGTTGAAAGCAAGGGTGAAAGGACCAAGGAAACAAGGTGAAGAAAATGGAGCAATGTGAGAGAAAGAGTCGAAGATTCGAGATTTGAGCTAGACGAGGCTTATTTTCCCGATGGATTTCTCCAAATCGATGTCCGGTTGTTGATGAAGTAGGCAGACAAAGTCGCGGTTCCTAGACCAACGCGCTTGCTCTCACCAGTTGTGATTCCTCAACCGTTTCTCTGCCAAGCCTTGAGCAGCCAACCCCAGCTCCCAAATGCCACACGCCTTTCCTATTTGGGCTAGCGCATTCTGTGGATGTCTCGCATGCCAAGGACCCCGAACCCCCACTTCACCCCGAGCTTCCAAGAATGGGATCCGACCTGGATCACGGCCCAGCGCGGGGCAGGTTGCAGGTGGGCACCCACGGCAGCCAGCTGTTGCTCCTCCTCAACCGCCTAAGACCACCTCAGCCAGCCTCTGAGCCTCTAAAATCACCACCGCCCTTCTCTCGTACTCTCGCTCCTTCCTCTTTTACTTTTTTTTCCTTCAAGCAGACCACAACTCGAGCCATACATTGCCTAAAATTGCGTCATTTCAGTTTTTATTTTGTCGTTTGAAGCATTTTCTCCCCTACAGCTCCTCCCACTTCTTCCCTGTTCTCCCCACCTCGTTCACTCGCCCACTCTCCCTCATCAAGGGCCAAGACCACTAACAGCCCTACCACCCACCTACCCACAATCACAAGCCGAGATGTCGGACCACGACGAGGCAATCCTGGCGGCTTCGGCCCGCCGCCCGATCGTGCCCCTCGAGAAGGGCAAGTTCTACACGTACGGCACGGCTGGCTTCCGCATGAAGGCCGACTTGCTCGAGGGCATCTCGTTCCGCGTCGGCCTGCTCGCCTCGCTCCGCAGCCGCAAGCTCAACGGCCAAGCCATCGGCGTCATGGTCACCGCCAGCCACAACCCGGCCGTCGATAACGGCGTCAAGATTGTCGACCCGCTTGGCGAGATGCTCGAGCAGGACTGGGAACGTTATGCCACCGCTCTCGTCAACGCTACCAGCGACCAGCACCTGGTCGAGGTCTACAACCTCCTAGCGGCCGAGCTCAAGATCGACCTCACGGCCTCCGCCAAGGTCGTCTACGGCCGCGATACCCGCCCCTCGGGCCACAAGCTCGTAGCCGCTCTCGCCGACGGCCTCACTGCGACCAAGACCGAGTTCGTCGACTTCAAGATCCTTACCACGCCCCAGCTGCATTACCTCGTGCGTGCTACCAACAGTGAGGGTACCCCGCTGGCCTACGGCAAGGTCAGCGAGGTGGGATACTACGAGAAGCTCGCCGAGGCGTTTGTGCGCGCCATCCGCGGCCGCAAGATCACGGGGACCCTGCAGGTCGACTGCGCCAACGGTGTCGGTGGACCCAAGCTGTCCGAGTTCCTCAAGCACATTCCCAAGGATAAGGTCAGCTTTGATGTGAAGGTTGTCAACGATGATGTGCTTCGGCCAGAGGTTCTGAACCTTGATGTATGTGCCCTTGTTTCTTATATTCTCTCTGACAGGGTCCCAAGGTCATGCTTGCTCACGATCCTCCCAGTCCGGTGCCGACTTCGTCAAGACCAAGCAGCGGGCTCCTCCCAACCCGAAGCCCCAGCCCGGTGTCCGGTCTTGCTCGCTCGACGGCGACGCTGATCGCCTGATCTACTACTGGGTCGACCCCGAGACCGGCTTCGTCATGCTAGATGGTGACCGCATCTCGTCGCTGGCCGCCTCCTTCATCGGCGACCTCGTTGAGAGCGCCGGCCTGAAGGACGACCTCCGTATCGGCGTCGTGCAGACCGCCTACGCCAACGGTGCCAGCACCAACTACATCACGCAGCACCTGAAGCTGCCCGTCATCTGCACCCCGACCGGCGTGAAGCACCTCCACCACGTGGCCCAGGGATTCGACATTGGTGTGTACTTTGAAGCCAACGGCCACGGCACTGTCCTCTTCTCCCCGGACGCCATCAACGCCTTCAAGAACAAGGAGCCGCAGTCGCCCGCTCAGAAGGATGCCCTCGACACGCTGGCCGCCCTCGCCGATCTCATCAACCAGACCGTCGGCGATGCCATTTCCGACATGCTCCTCGTTGAAGTCATCCTCGCCCACAAGAGCTGGACCCTCCGTGACTGGGCCTTGACCTACGCCGACCTGCCCAACCGCCTCGTGCGCGTCGAGGTCAGCGACAAGGACCGGTTCAAGACCACCGATGCCGAGCGCCGCCTGTTGAGCCCCGACGGCGCGCAGGACGAGATCGACCAGGCCGTCAAGAAGTACAAGGACGCACGCTCCTTTGCCCGCGCCAGCGGTACCGAGAACGCCTGCCGCGTCTACGCCGAGGCCGCCACCCGCACTGAAGCCAACGAGCTCGCCGATCGTGTCGCCAGAATCATTGAGCGCTATGGGACTCTTTAGAGCCGGGCCCGCGCTACTCCGCAGCAAGAGATCCCGTAGCAAGAGATCCCGCCGCAGCAGCAACAGCACCAGGGGCCCGCTCACATTGACCCAAACTACGAACACGACCACCTCTACGGCAGCCTCATGGCCATCATCCTCAAGCGCGATCGGGAGCGGCCCCGCAACCGTGCCGTCTCGCTGTTCTCGCAGCTGCAGCCGCCCCCGCGGCCCCGGCGGGACATCCACGGACTCGAGCTCGGTAAATCGTATGGCGACCACAATATGTTTGAGATGGAGGAAGACATTCGGGAGAAGCAGAAGAGGATCCTGGCCGGCACCTTTTATAAGTATGATCTTGGAGGAGGAGGAGGAGGAAGCAACAACAGCAGCAGCAGCAACGTGGCGCCGGAGATCCCGTCCGGCACGTTCTTGGAGGCTTGGTATTCCATGTCAAAAAGGGGGGCGTTACGGGCTGAGGAAGTGACAGAGAGTGATAAACGAGGAGAGAATGAGGATCCGAAAAAGGAGAAAAAGAAAGTGGAGGGGCATGGCAAGAAGAAGAGTAAGAGGGATAAAAGGGCCATGTTGGGGGGTCTTGGAGAGAGAACTCAAGCCACATACCTGGAATACCCTCGGAGTTACCCCTGAAGGGGGGCAAGTGAGTATAAAGGCTATAAAATCAGGTGGTGGGAATAGCACATGAATGACATGACAAAACGGAAAAAAGAAAACCAAGACCAAAAAAATAGACACCGAAGATTTCGGGATACGATTTTACACTCTCCTCTCCATTTCTGGTCTCCTTTCGTTCTTAATCTCCTTTCGTGTTTGTCCACTATTTCTGCTTTGTCCTGGGTTGATGTTTGATGTGTTATGTCTCCTTCAAGCGGTTGATTCAAAAGTCAAAAGCAGGCGGCGGTGGGATGAAATGATGATTGACTTGTTGCTGTGACTGTTTCCCTTCTCGCGGTCCTTCTCTAGTTTCTGTGAATTCCGTTCCTCTCCTCGGTGTTGCAAGAAAGGGTATAGAGACAAGCGTATAAAAAGAGGGTGTTAGCAACAAGCAAGTAGCAACCAGATGCCGACAACAATCAACCGTCAAAAGCCGAATCCAGGAGCACATAACGGAGTCAACAACAAACACGCAGAAATGATTCTATTTTTTTTTTACCTACCATCCTCCCCCTCCTCTACCTCTTCCATCTCTTGAAACGGGTATTCCTATTCGCCAAGAAATCTCTGAGCCCCACGACCATTCATGATCACCACAATCACAATCATGATATCCCACCATATCTCTCCTTCATCATCTTCGCCCAACTTCCTTCCCCGCGTTCCTCGGTCCAGACCCGCCCCTTTACACCTCCCATCCTAAGCCCCATCTCAGTCTCCACAAGTACCCCCCGAATCATTCGAGTAACCGAGACAGAAAGCTTCATCCGCGGACGCCAGACTCAAGTCCACCAACAAATCGGTTGTAGCAATGGGACAAGCAACGCCGATTAGTGCTGACACGGCTCGCAAACACCAACCATCAGGTAAGCAAGGACCATCATCAGAAGCTTGGATCCCAGTCTCTATAACCCCCCGCTCCTTGACAGCTACCAAGCCAGATGTGACAGGCCGAAGAAGATACGACCGTGCTCCCTTCCTCTCTGCCCCCTTCACCTCTCAATACCCCCCCGCGGGGGATAGAAACGCTCTAGCACATCTTGTAAAGCCCCACCCCACTCGCCTGCCGGTTCGGATCGTCCGTCTCGAGCCGATACTCAACCTTAATATCCAAATCGCGCTTATTCTTCTCATTCGGCCGATTATGCAGCGCACACTCGACCTTCTCGCCCTGCTGGACAGTGAGAACATCCTGGAGGTAAAAGACGGTCTGCTTCCAGTGGGTGTACTTGGTGTGGGGCCCCGTGGAGAAGCGGATGGGCTTGTGGCAGGCGGTGAACTCGATGTCGAACCAGGCGACGAGGGCGTGGATGAAATCGTCGCGCCGCGCCGTCAGGTCGAAGGGGCAGCTGAAGGCCAGGTCGGCGGTTTGCACTTTGTAGAGGTCGAGGGTGAGGACGGGGGTCGGGTCGGTTACGACGGCTTTCATTTCGACTGTGTCGACGAGGGGTTCCGAGAGGGCGGTTTTCTTGAGCGGGCTGTAGTCGAAGCCGTAGACGTTGTCCCAGACTGGGAGGGGAGTTAATTAGTAACTGACCAACGGGGTCCTCGACAGGGGGGGAACAAGAAGGGGGAACCAACAGCCAATCTTCTCCTCCTTGTAATCACCATCCTCAATCCCCGCAACAAAAATCGTCGCCTTGTCCGGGAAGATCAAGCCGTCTTTGTTGAGGTACGTGTCGCGGGCGTACAGGACAGTGTCGAGCATGCTCTCGTACAGCAGGAAATAGCCCATCCACTCGGAGATGATGATGTCGACCTTGGGGAACGGCATCTCAATCTCCTCCATCTTGCCCTGGATCAGCGTGATCTTGTCCGACAGCCCGTTGACCTCGACGATCTCGCGAGCCTTGAAGATGATGGTCGACATGTCGACGCCGATGACGTGCTTTGCGCCGGCCTTGGCCGCGAACCTGGGAGAGCGTTGCCGTTAGCCACTGGCCGTTTCATTGTGTCATAAAATAGGGGGTTTAGCAAAATGACCGGGCCTACATGGACAGAATACCAGTCCCGCATCCGACATCGAGCACGATCTTGTCCTTGAAGATGTGCTTGTTCTGTACAATGGCGTTCATGTATGATCTCGTCCGGACTTCATCTTTCTACAAAAGGGGCGCAGCGCGCAGGGTTAGTCTCATGTGGTTCTCTAGCCTTCCGGTACTCGTAGGGCATCCAAGGGGAATTCGGGACGTGGGGTAGAAAGAGGTACACACCAACATTTCCTCATGGATGCCTTTTCGTGGGTCGTCGTGGTTAGTCAATTTTCTTTTCTTCTGATATCATTATTGTTAGGTGGCCGCTCACCATGGTGGTTGTAGCTGCAGCGCAAGTATTAGCATCGATATGTAACCAGGCCTCTCCCCAAGGCAGACAATAACGAGTTAGCAGAACCAAACTTGCCTGTTGAAGTAGTGCTGTTCCGAGTGGTCCAGCGATTTGAGCTGCTTCTCGGCACTCTCAATGTCCATGCTCTCGCCAGCCATTCTGAATGATCTGCGGGGTGGAATTACAGGTAGGTAGGTTACCGACTGAGTGGTTGAGGTGGGGTGATGCAGAACAAAAGAAGGAGATCTACAGTGATCTATAAGTATGTTCCCAAAGGGAAGGAAGGAAGGGAAGGATGGGGCGGAGAGCTGATGAGAGAAAAAAAGTTTTGGAGTTTGTTGTTGGCACCAGCGAAAAGGGTCCCCTTGTTTGGACTTGGGTTTGCCTCCTTCAACAGAGAATTTGGGTGCAAAATTCCAGACGACCCGCTTATCGCATGTGGGATCGCGGTATGTGCCCCGCATTGCCTCCCTCAAAGTCTGCTAAATTTACTGCACCAAGAGCCCAAGGTGAGACGCGATAAGCGATAAGCTTACCGGGGTCAGGAGCAGTACAGGAGAATTCTAGCCCTTGCATGAAACACCTCATACGCCCTCTGCCCAAAAGTGGTAAAATTCTAACGTCGAACTCTACGATACGGCCATCTTTACCATCTTTGTCTATTTTCCCACCCAAAAACCAGATTTCATAGTTCTCGTCCCTAGACATCAACTGGGCGCACTCGGCCCTTTACTATCCCATTCCAAATAAAAAACGCCAGGCCATGCATGCCAATGAATCTCAACGCCGGCTTAACTTCAAGGCTGTCGAACCCAAAGGACTGCTTTCTTTCCCACACCCCCTTTCTAATCAAGCCATTCCGGCCATTTGCAGCAGCCGCGTACCCACCTTCAGATTGGCATACTCGTACGCCTTCGACCCGGGTGGGAACGTGCCGTTGGCAGCCCACAGGTCAATCAGGGGCTGCATGGGCTCCAGCTCCTGGGGCTTGAGCATATCCAGCGCCGTGGCCGTCAGCACGAAGTGGCTGAAGCAGCTGTTGAGCTGCTTCTCGAGGTTGAGGTGGTAGAAGGGCTCGACAAAGTGAGCCCAGTAGAGGTGGGCGTAGACACGAAACATCTGCAGGAAGATGGTCTTGCAGATGCTGGCGAAGTCCTTGGGGAACCCGCTGCGTTTGCCGATCCATTCGTCGGCGTTGGTGAGGAGAGCGGTGTTGGCGATGCTGGGGTTGTGGGAGAAGGAGACGCCGGCCGCGTCGGTCGGGAAGATCTTGTCGTCGTCGGTCTTGCTAGAGATCCAGCGCTGCATGAGCGCTATGTACTCGATTGCGGGCAGCTCGACACGCTCGTATCGGTCGCCGTTCTTGTTAAGCCAGGTATACGAGTGGTTCCTGCAGGCATGGTAAGTATCAGGTGGGCATGGCATGGTGGGTAAAGGCAACTCACGGTCCGGCGGACATGCGGGGGCAAGTTGTGGCATTGCAAAGGTTATTTCCGTTGGATTCCTTGGCGTAGATGACGTGGACAAAATTCCAGAGGTTCCGGTAATGCTCCACCACTACCCGGACGGCAATTAGCACTGAAATATGTTAGAGGAGGCTGGGGGAAAGTACCGTGGTGTGCCACCCATTCGCCCTGCTCGACTGACTTGGGCCGGCTGCTGAGGGTCATAAAGTTGCCCTTGACGATATGTTTTGCATAGACGGGGTTCAGCCACAAGGGGAGTGGCTGAGGCAGGCGATACGAGCTCAGCACCTCGTCGCCGGTGGAGGCCATGTTACCGATAGCTTGGGAGAGTGCGGGAGATGTCGGCAATGGCGGGAGTTTGGAGGACAGGCTGGCTGAAGACACGCTGGCTGCTGACAGATTGCTGGACGACTTGCTTCTCTGCCCTAGCCCCCGAGGCGAGTTGACTCGGCCATCCTCAGAAATGGGCGACGCCGGGGTTTTCCCGCTGTTCTGCTTGTTCGAGGTTCCCCTCAGCCGGGCATTGCTACACGACACAATCAGTATTTCTTGGTCTTAAAACTATATATTTAAAACTCATGTAATGGGAGGTTGCATGGCTGTACGGAGTATCAGAGGTTGATTTGGTATTGTGTTAAAACACAAGCGGAGGTCGGGGAGGACACAAGTCTCACGACAGTTTGGGCAAGTACTGGTGTTTCCAATTCTCATACAAAAATAAATAAACAATCAAACAAAAATGAGAAAATTGGAAAGCCGCTGTGAGAGAAAATAAAACAAGAATTAACAATCAAAGTAAACAAAAACGGATACTCACATCCCGGAAAACAAGTTAGACATTGTGGTGGCGGTACTTGCTCAAAAGACAGGCAAGGCGGAAGTTAGGCCGCGCGTTAGGTGAAGGCGCTCGTTGATAATGACAATGTAAAGACCAACAGAAACAAAAGCCAATTTGCGTTAATAACACTCTTTGGTCCTCAACTCAAACACTGTCCAACCCAAACAGGAGTAGCAACAGCAACAGCGGTGGCAGTTTAGTGAGTTTAAGAGTGTAGTGCTGCAGGCAAACTTGGGGTCACGAATTGCCAGCACACGAGCACGAAGGGAAAGGGGGAAGGACCGGTGAAACTCGCAGGGAACCAATCAATACCAAGCAATCAGGGGTCCGTTCCTGGTGTTGGCAAACGTTGAGCACGTGACTACGTGTGGAGTTGGCGGTTGAGGGCTCCACTCTTTTCGGGAGATCCGCGTGTGCCAAGAGATCCGAACCGACTCGCGCATGCTCTTTGTTCGTGTTCTCTGCATGCATCTTGCATGTAACAAACCAGGCAGCAACCGGCCTCAGCGCCAACAAGAACAAGAGAAGTGTTCAGACAAAAATGCACTTAAGATGTTGGACCAAGCGCAGAGGGCGCAGAGGGCAAAACGTAATGATTCTGCAAACTCCCCACACTTGCTTGTTACCTCGCTCTCATCAATTACCGCACAACGATTTGCAGCACAAAACACCATGAGTTCGCCATCGCTAAGTGAGAAGACGGCCTTCTTTGACCAACTCGATGCGCTTGATAATATACGCGACGAGGATGATGTGATCGATGAGAAGGAGCGGAAACACCGGGAGATGTGCCGGGCGTTCTTCAACTCGCGCAAGAAGCCGGAGCGCATCCAAGAAACTCCTGCCGCTGCACCACAGAAGGCCACATCGATTCCGGGCACAATTCCGGGCACAGTTCCAGATACAATTCCCGTTCCGGCTTCAACAACACCAGGTCCTCAGATTATAAAGGCTACACCCATCACCGGGAAGGCAGCAGCCAACCAACCGCCAGGAAAACGTCGGTCCGTCGCTGACCCCACTTCCTTTGTTGAAGAGACGCCCATCCCCGACACGGCTCGGCCCTTACCCTCAACTCTAAGGAGCACCACCTTTCCACTACCGGATTCTTCTTCGGTCCATGACCAATCCCCTTCAGCAAGCACCGCGTTAAGGAAGCGGAAGCGCCAGGCGTCGACCAAGAAGACAGTGCCCGAAGCTGCCCAGGTTCTGCGGGGGCTCTCATTCTACTATATACCCAACAACGACATTGCCCCAGCACGGAGATTGCGTATCGGTAGAGCGCAGGAGTACGGTGCACAATGGGTTCAGGCACTGGGAGATGCCACACATGCCATTGTCGACAAGCAGTTGACATATCAGGATATCCGCGGTGTGCTCGGCACCGAGGTTGCGGATTCTTTGATCATTGTTAACGAGGAATATCCCATCGACTGTATTTCTTTTCGCATGATCCTCAATCCCCACCAGCTTCGATACCGGGTTCTAGGCTCTGCTAGCATCCGCGGCAACTCGTCTTCCGAACGCCCGGCTACGGCTGCATCGGAAGAGTCGAACCACTCGCTGCAAGTGAAGACATCCCGGAGTTCCAAGAGACGAGGCTCAAGAAGCACGCCCCCGAGACCAGAAGATCCGTCTCCGGTCAAGAACACACGGGGTAGCCTGTCGAGGCCGACGACGGGGACAACCTTGGAGGACGGCCGGTCCGAAATTCAGGTCCCCCATTCTGACCTAGTGGAGCGACCGAATATCGACCAGGAGGCTCCCCGTCCTCCACCATTCCGCCGAAAGTCGAGTTCCAATGACGAGCTGGCGGAGTATATCGAACTTCTCCAGCAGTACAAGGACCTCCCTCTCGACGCCGAGGACGAGGATGCCCAGTCTGCCCGGGACCCCCAAGACTCAACCGGCTCGAGCTCTGACATAGAAGAAGGCTCCGAGGATGAGCGGGCGCGGAAGAGGACCGCAACAATGACCAAACCCCGCCGCAGCAACCAAAAAGAAATCTCCTTCGCCGACCGTTTCTCCTGCAACCGCGGCGGGACCAAAGAAAAGTCCGCCAACGCCGCCAACCCCAACGCCAAAACCATCGAGATCCTCCAGCGCATGTGCGACTACTACAACCGCATCAACGACACGTGGCGCGCCATGGCCTACCGCAAGGGCATCGCCACCCTCCGCCGACAAACCACCAAAATCACCACCGAAGACGAGGCCTACCGTCTGCCCAACATCGGCCGCCGCCTCGCCGCCAAAATCGAAGAAATCGTCTCCACCAACCGCCTCCGCCGCCTCGAATACGCCCACGACGAACCCGTCGACCAGATCCTCGAGCTCTTCTTGGGAATCTACGGCGTCGGCACCAGCCGCGCGAGCAAGTGGATTGCCCAAGGCCATCGCACCCTCGACGACCTCCGCCGCAAGGCGGATCTAACCCCGCACCAGCGCCTGGGTATCGACCACTACGCCGACCTCAACACGCGCATCCCGCGCGCCGAGGTGGCCGCGCTCTTTGAGTATGTCTGCCGCGAGGCGGCGCAGCTGGATGACAGCGTGGATCTGCTCGTTGGCGGTAGTTACCGTCGCGGCGCGGAGTCGTCGGGGGATATCGATATCATTGTCACGCGGAAGGGGACGACTTCGTCGGGGGAACTAGTGCCGTTTCTTGAGGAGCTGGTGGATGTGCTCACGCGCAAGGGTTTTCTTGTTGCCACGCTGGCGGCGCTGCATGCCCAGCGACGGCCTGGGAAGGACGGGCCGGGGGGTAAATGGCATGGCTGCTGCGTTTTGCCCCCGTCTCCCTCCCCCACCACGGAAGAAGAAGAGAACCAGCAACAAAATCCCAACCCTTGGCGGCGCATCGACTTCCTCCTCGTCCCGGAATCCGAATACGGCGCCGCGCTCATCTACTTCACGGGCAACGACATTTTCAACCGCAGCATGCGGCTGCTGGCATCGAAGCGGGGGATGAGGTTGAACCAAAAGGGGTTGTATAAGGATGTGATGCAGGGCAGGAACCGGGAGAAGATTACGGAGGGGGAGTTGTTGGAGGGGAGGGATGAGAGGAGGATTTTTGAGGTGTTGGGGGTTAAGTGGAGGGAGCCGTGGGAGAGGTGGTGTTAGGGGGGTTTATTATTTTGAGTGGAATAGTTGGGTAAGGTCCTTAAGAAACTTGATTGTTGGAGTGAAGGTCAGTGGGGACATGGCATAGGAGACTAGCTGGGTTATATAACAGACACGCCGGGGGAACGGGCGATGATCATGGAATCAGCCTGTTCATATCGCAGGCACGAGCACGAGACAAGAGTATGAGGCACGGAGCATGATACCTATGTTAGACAGGAATATGATTGTAGGGCCACTTGATGGCCGGCGTCTTACATAACTAGTATGACGATGGTTGTCCTCTCAAAACATGAGGTTGGTTGACCATTGAACTCGCAAAGCATTAGTCCCACCTACCCACGCCCTGGACAACGGCTCAATCCCTCACAACGAAGACAGCTCAACAGCCAGCCGTCTCAAATTAAAATTAAAAAACTCAAGGCCTAGCGCACTATAGCGCACTATATCACTCGACCAACACCAAAAAATTGGATCGTGCAAGAAGCATGCATTAAAACTAGCTAAATAATAGCATGTATAACCCCTTCAACTCCAGTAACCACCGTCCCATCCACCCACACATCCATGTACCCATGCGATGTGATGCTCTGAAGCCAAGAGAGTCATGAACCAGTCGTAACGTCATCCAGCCCAGCCATGCAAGACAGAGAAAAATACCCCCAAAAGGTAGACAATTAGACGAAAAAAAAGAAAAAGAAAGAGAGAAAAAAGAAAAGAATCTATGTACAAGAAATGGACTACACAGTAGCCCTTTTGTGTATGTTTGTATGCATGTGGATGAGTCTCAGACTCTCCAACTCCATCTCAATCAACCCCAAAAAAGTCAGAAAAGTGTCTAACACCCACCATACTTAACCCCCCTCTTCCCCACCTCCTTCCTCCCCACCGGACACTCCGGCAACACCCACCCACGCGCCCGTTTCGCCTCCCTCTTCTCCGCCAACTGCGCAGGCGGCATCCAGCTATCCCTCGGCAGCGCCTTGCGCCTCGTGCCATCGGCCGGCGCGCCAATCTCCGACTTCCAGTGCGCATGCCCTGGCATCGGCTCATCCCCGGCCAACATGCACAGGCCCCAGAGGGCGAGGCAGGCCGTGAGTTTGGCTTCGTCCGGCCGGAGGGGCCCGTGGTTTTCCGAGGAAGATAGGACGTCAAGGTCGTCGGCGGCAGCGAGTTGCACCGAGCCGACCTCGAGGAAGCCGAAGTGGGGGGTCTTGTCGGAGCCGTTGCGGACAAAGACGAGTTCGATTTCCGTCAGGATGAAGCCGTAGCGGCAGCCGTGCTCGCGCATGGCGTGGTGCAGGTGGGCGAGGCCGCGGAGGTACTCGACGCGCTTGATGTTGCCTTCGGCGCGCATGCCGGTGTTGAAGCGGTCGAAGCTCTTGACTAGGCCGACGACGCGCGCGGTCGGCTTGCCACCGAAGAGGGCGGCGGCTGAGGAGGACTCGCCGGCTGCGGAGGCGATGAACATGCAGTCGCTGGAGGATGGGCCAGAAGAAGAGGAAGAAGCGGCAGCAGCTGCTGCGGGGGTGGGCTTGGAGGCGGGGACGGAGAGTTTAAGAGGCCGGGCTGAGCACAGGGCCAGGGCGTTGTTAAGCTTGGGGAGGTAGTGCGCCGCGTAGATAGAGTGGAGGGCGGACTCCGTCTCTGGGTGGCGCTGGGTCACGGCCGGGGTGGGCACGACAGAGGAGGGGATGGCGGTGGAAAGGCACGAGGCTGCGCCGGGCATGGACAGGATGGAGGCCGCAGTGAAGTTGGTCCAGGGGCGGACCTGGCGCACGTCCCACCAGAAGTGCTTGGTGTTGGGGTCCCGGAGTGGGAACGAGAGGGTGCGGACCAGCGAAGGGGTCGGGTTAGGCGCAGTGAGGTAGTTGTAGAGCGTGGTGGGCGGCGACACGTCGGGCACGATGGGCGCAGCGGCGGCCAGCGGCGAAGACTCACGTGGGATGAACTGCTGGTACATGAACTGCTCGGGCTGCATAGGCATTGGCGGCGGCGTGGGGCTGCTGCTGGCACGCGCGACGGGCAAGTAGCTGGTAGCAGGCATCTGGTACGACGGGAAGAAGCTGTCGACGGTGACGTTGTCGACGCTGCACGAGGACGCCCGCCTCGAGTCCATCACGACTGAGGTCTCGCGGGAGAAGGTGACAGGGGAGCACAGCAGAGGCGCCGGGTTGCTGTCCTCGGTGAAGGAGAGCGCAGCCGAGTAGTTCGAGATAGTCTCGGGGTTGGTCTGGCTGCGGACGTGCGACGGCCGGAACGCGCGCTTGCTGGGCACGGCGGCCGGGCTCATGGAAGTGCGGGCGCGCTTCGCCGGGCGGGCGGGCGCAGCAGGAGGGATCATCGTCTGGTCCTGGCTCCGGATCTTGGGCAGCAACAAGGGGCCATGAGTCCGGATGGGAGACCGCGCAGGCGTGGTCCGGCGAGTGCTAGGCGCAGTGACAGGCTCCGAGGGCGAAGAGTCAAAGGAGTAGACCGACGAGCTGAGCGAGCTGGACCGGGCATGGCCGGAGGACTGGTACGGCATCTCGAGCAGAGATGGGTCAAAGGAGAAGCTCGGGGGTGTGGTGGGGTCGCAGGGGGCGAAAGTGAAGTCAAAAGGGACATCCGCTGCCAGACTGCATTCGCTTGTTAGTCCCTGATTGTTATTTACTTTGATCAGATATCATAGGATATAACCCACGTGGACATATTGGCGAGGTATCAGGGGTGCTGTCGACTGGCGACAGGCACAAACACAAGGTAGATTATAATTAGAAAAGGGCGAGGACTGAGAAGTTCCGTGAGGAGTCAAGCGGGAGACCGGCTCCGAATGTGTGTAAGTGAAGACAAATGGAAGAGAGAGAGGGAAGTGGTAAGGACCAAGCCTTGCCGGACAAATCCCAGACGTTGTCGAAAGGACGGGGAAGATGAATGTGTCTGAAGATGGACAACCAAGAGAAAGACGACGGGAACTGGGGGGAGGAGAGGTTGTTCTTATCCTCCGCAGCAGATCGAGGGCGATGGCCGGAATCATAGGCCACAGACGGCCGCCGCGGTGCGGGCCCGCGATGCATGCGCGGGTTCGCGGAGCAGGCACTGGACGCGGCGGTCTGGCGAGCAAAGTCATGGTCGTACTGGCTTGGCTAGGCTCTGTAAAGGTGGTGTGGATCACAGGCCACGACCGTGGAGCGTGGACCCGCGCACGACGACGACATCCCAAAGAAAGAAGCGCGGAGTGGATCGCGAAAAGCCGCGCAGAAGGACAGCGTCGTCTTCCCTTGCTAGCCGTGCCGGGGGTTACGTGACAGGGAGCCGGGGTAAGGTGTGCTTCGTCGGTTCAACAAGGTTACATTTCGCAAAAAGAGAGGTACGTACCCATCCGCCATGCTAGCCTCAAAAAAATAGAGCTCGCCATTCGATGAGCATAAACCTGAAACACGGAGTCGAGAGTGCCAAGTTGTGGGGTGGACAGCAAGCATTGCGGCCACACAGACGACAGAATCCCTTCTCTCGAGAGTCTTTGGGTCCTGACTCCCGGCTGAGGGACGGACAAGATCGTGGCGCCCACGGTATTGCGGCGCACAACCACGGGTACGTACCTCTTGCCGCTGTGGTCGGCGGCTCGCTGGAGGACGGAAATATCATATGAGGGTTGTGATCTGGGTTGCACGCCGGGCCGGTGTCTCTCAGTGAGGGCTTACACAGTAACGTTAGCTCCCTCCGTCTCTTCCTTTTGCAACTTGGAGGGCCCGGAAATCAGAATTGGGGGCACAATGTCGGTGAGAAACAAATTCGTGCCCAACAAAAAAGCCCGCAGGAAGTAATCGCACCTTCCGCGTCGTCGTCCCGGGTCTTTCCCGAGTCCCGCCTCGACAACCACCATCACTCTTTCCCCCCACGACCAGCGCATCGCACGATTCGGGAAAATTTTCAAGCGAAGGCGGACAGAAGAGCAAAAAGAACAGCACAAATCCCAGACTTTGGGCTCTGAACGTTGCAAAGAAAGGAAGTCGAGGTGCATTCCGGCTTCCTCATTGGCCACACCCCTTCTCGGCAAATGCAAGCCGCCTGCAAGCGTCTTCCCACAAAAGATTCGTGAGTCACCCTTCGGCCAGCTGGCAAGCTCCGCGAGAGAAAAAGCGTTGCAGTGCAGTGGGAAGGAAGACGGACGGAACGGGAAGCCCTAAAGTTACAGTGAGAGACAGAGCCGGCGTTCGTCACACAACCCAAACCCCTGCAAGGGGTCCAGGGGGGGCAGTCCAATGGGAAGCGTGGAAGGGGGGTCGCGCTTGTGCCGCGATTCGATTTCGCGGGTCGCGGCTCTTGCGACGTGGATCACGCTTCGTCCCGCGCGTGTCGACGTGGGCGTGTGTCGCGGGTCGCGGGGCGGGGAAAAACGAGGCGGACGTGGACTTGAAGCCACGGGTGTGGCTGACCCCCGCATTTCGGGATGAAGCTCATGAACGGATTGCCTGAACGGATTGCAGGTGATGAGGGGTTGGGCAATTGCCATTTCATCAATATGCTCATTCAGGCCGACTTCAACCTTCCGAGCTCCCCCACAATCGAAAGTCATCCGATGTCGTCTTCCGGCCTCCCCACGAGACCTACCGTCTCTTTCTTTCTCCCTCCATTTCAGTCCATTTCAGAGCCGCCCTCGGTGAGGGCTCCGAAAACCCCTGGACCATCTGCCCAGCTGGCCTGTTCGGTCGGCCAGGTCTATTCCAGGCCGATTTGATCGCGGTGAGATCATCAAAGCGACATATGGGGTTTATTTTTGGGTCGGCAGCACGCACCTCTCCACAAGTATCACCAGCATCCGCCGATCGAGATCTTGGTTCCCGGCTGGCCACCTCCCGCCCCGGCACGTTGACGCTCCCGGCCGCACTGATGGGACCTTAGCGTTGACCCTGTCTGCTGACTACCATCACGACTTCCTAGACAGTAAGTCAAGCGGCTATTGAAATTGCCTCTTCCGTTTGACGAGCGCCGGAGGCAACCTATGGCCGGTGGTTGGGCGGCTGCGGAAATTTGACTGCTGCCATTTTTGTGTACCCGAAAGCGGAAATGCTGTAGCCGCCGGACAAGGGGGACAACCGCGGGAATGGACAGCTAAATTGTTACCATAAGCCGGGGCCCCTGTTAAGATGGTGCCCGTGCGCTCCCGCCAAAAGCTTAACATAATTTTTAACCGCGCTGCAACGGCGGGTAGCCTGACCAAACAGGCGGCCGGGCGGCCCCTTGTCTTTCAGGTGGTCGCCCTTTTTCATCCTCAGGTTGCTCCGCCCGAAGTTGACGGGCGGCTGCTGAAGTCCACACAACACACGAGATGAGGCACCTCGGACTCTCCCCTTGTTCCTCTTTTATTTCTTGTAATGAGACCGGGACGGTCGTCTTTCCGAGCCGAACGCGTCACCGGCCGGTGCACCGCCTCATTCCTGCTGATGGGCGCTAAGAAAACCGGCGGGTAGCCGTGGGCGATGAAGTGAAGCATGAGGCAAGAAGCAGATGACGAGGCAGAAGCACAAGGCGAGGAATGTGAAATGCCCGAAGCGCCAGCGACACGAGCCACAGCGCGAAAACCCCAGTCCCACTTTTCGACCCAAGACCAAGGACACGGAGTCACGTGTTTCCGCGAGCGCCCTCTTCCCGATTCGTCCCACTAACCCCTGTCCGTCGCCATGCAAGTCGCGGTCCTAGCCCAGCCAATCCGGACCGCGCAACCCTCGACCGCTCACCGACTCTCACCTGTCAAGTTCGCGATTCGGCCCGGCGATTGGCTGGCGGTGGATTTTGGACATGCAACCTCCACCCGGCAGCTCGCTGGCCGTTGAAAGTTTCTCGATTTGGCCGATTCGAGATCTGCCTTCCTTGATGGGGAACTGCAGTCTGCATGAGAGAATGACTCACTTCTGCCCTTCGAGACCTGCATCTTTCTTCCACCTGAAACGAAACCAAAATTCCCTTGCTCCAGCGTGGGTGACGGGATGGACGTTGCATCCCGTTGCCGTTCCAAGGAAAAAGAGTCCTTCCCACTGGGCTGGACCATGGAAATATCGTTGCTTGCGGGGAACCACATACGAGGAGAGGAGGAAACAAAACTTGCCGGATGCGGGAATTACATGACCTGCCTGTTTGCGAGGAAAAAGGATCTGGAATCCTTTTCTCTGTCTTGATGGTTTGTTCGTTGTTACGTGTAGGGAGGTGGGGCAAACACCCCCTCCTTGAAGCCGTGTCACTGTCGATGAGTCGTGTCGATGAGTCGTGTCGATGAGTCGTGTCGATGAGTCGTGTCGACCAGCGGAGGGGACGCGATTCCAACATCGGCCGGGACGACACGCTCCCGTCAGGCGGGAGTGAGGGGCTCCGGTGTTGCCCGGAGTGGGCTCACCGCTTTGGAGTCTGGAAGCGGATTGCATTGCGCAAAGAGGACCGTCGACATCGGTGGCGAAAGTCTTGGGATTAGCCCTTGACCGCCGAGGTATGGAAAAGGGATGCGGGCTTGTTAGTCCTCTTTCTTTTTTCGTGTCCGTTCGTTGTTCCCTTTTCTTCACCTCCGCAGGTCCTCATAGTGCAACTCCAAAGCGCCAAATCTGGTCCGCAAAGCCCGGGCAAAACAGCACCGGGCTGGAGGCAAGCCAAGAGAACACGTAGGATAGTCAAAGAAAATACAAAAACCCCTTACGGACATGGACTAGAATATTTGACCAGACCACAACCAGCACCCAGATCAATTAGACTTCGGGAGAGGTGTAAAATGCTTGCTAGGTCAAGGTATATGAGCCCAGTCACGACAACTCGATGGAGATGTTGATTAAATACGAAACGGTGGAAGACATCTCTCTCTCTCACCGACACACACACCCATCTATGCAGAGATATCGTACATAACACTAGGATAAGGGTGAGGGTTTCCCAATGACGACGTTGCCTACCTCCCTCACAACCACGTAAGGACTTTCCCATTCACAAGCAGAGTTCGAATAGGAGTACAGCGGTTTGAGTACGTACAAGAAAAGAAAATGGTTGATTGCCTGTCGAGAGGAGGACGACAAGCGCCCACTGCAAGTATTGGAAGAGGATCGAACGCAGAACGGTCACCCCCCCCCCCCTCCTCCCCCGTGGGTGGGTGACCGAATGGAATGGACTATAGAACGGATAGCAAAAAAAAAACAAAAAAAACAAAGGTATCCTCCGTGTTGCTCGGCTGGTCAGAGATGGAAGCCCTGCCTCGGTTTGGTCTGTTCAATACTGAGGCCAAGGTAGGGGAATTCAATAGACTACTCAGACAAAGCGGTGGATGTCGTCGGTCATCAGAAGGTATTTTCTGTATATAGGTTGGTTTTCCAGTTCGAGATACTCTTTACACCTACTAGTACATAACACCCCTGATTAAATTCATGATTACCGTGTTATTTGGCACTTTATGTAAATGAGTATGGTAAACAGGAAAGAAAAAGACCGAGGAGAAGAGAAAAAAACTAGAAACGATGCAGGGTCACATAGTCCAGACCGTGCCCGCACTATGAGAAGATTTTCCAAGGCCGTTGTTACCATGCCTGTTTCGACAGCTGAGATCAAGGGTATCACCAGCGAGAAGAAACCGAACAGAAAAGGCGACCAAAATCATCCATGACTCTCTGTTCGAACACTCGATCGAAACAGTCAAGGCTAACCCATCCGTGGTTTCTCCCTGGAAGAGTTGGATT